ACAACGCTGGCCTGTGAATGCTATCTGTTGGTGGACCATCTAGTACAAAATAAGAGGCTGCCACCTGTGTTACGCTCTGAGAGTGGTGTGCTCTTTGGAGGACAGGGAGCTTTTCTGCCGGAGGATCAAGGTGACACGACACCATTAAGCGCTGGCACTTGCAAATTGAGTATCGCGTACACCCCATGCACCATGCAATAGCGCGGGTCCTGCGCGCATGCTTCCAAAATGGTGCATTACCATGGGAGTCCCTGCTGCCTGCAGTAGATTAGCATGCAACTGCACAGTCCACGATCCACGGGCATGACTCTCCGAGAATATAATGAGGGAGGTTCTTGTGCGCACCACGAGCCTGAGCAATATGGATGACTTCAAATCTAGTATATCACCTCACATGACATTAATCTTTTGCCAACGGACAGGCGAACTGCTTTTGGTGTCCACCCGTTTCATGCAGCGGCAGGCAAAAACCAAATTCCAGATCTGTCGTTTTGTCGGCGCACTCCAGATTCTGGAACGTTTCGGCAAAGTCGCTTAAAATTCCTGCCCCCAACCTGCTGTAGGAACCTGTACTCCACGTTTACCTCTTGCAGCGCTACCAATCAAGTTCATAGGAAATGCTGTATTCATAGAAATAGGAGCTAGCCACTCTGAGACAGATGACATAGAATAAATATAGGAGCCTGAAGCCCCACGGCAAAATTTAAGCTCGGGAGCGGCAAGTAGAAAGAGTTTGCGGGGGAGTGACCTGAGGCCGACACCCTTCAAAAGCTTGTAGAGCCACCAAGAGCGCCTCCAAGCCTTTAGAGACTCTAATCCCGCAAGTGGCTCTAACGAAAACCCGCGAAAGCAGGTTGGCTGACGCGAATTGAAATTGCATGTGGCAGCTCACTTTTTTGAAGAGAGGAGTAAGAACCTAGGGACCCCCACTCACCGCCAAAGGGGTGTGTCCAGAAAGAGCCAAGACAAAGGCTGTATAATAGCTGGCTGAAAGCTTTTGAATGTCGTGTCATCGTCACATATATGCGGCGACATGTTCAAGCTACGTGCACCCTCGAATGATCTCCCAAACTCTGGCAGTGCGTTGGCTCTTCGCCTACGAAAGGTGAGTGACGCATGTCGTTCACCTGCAAAGAGAACAATTGCGTGTACTTTTACACCAAAATGCAGATATTCGTGTCTTTAAGTGTTGTGTAGTGGTGTGACTGTTCTGGCTGTTGCATTTAAAGTAGTTAAGGTATGCCTACCCATCATCCAGCGTCTAATGGAAAAGGATGACGGAGGGAGAATTTAGGGTTTTCTATCGCTTGTAGCGTGTCAGCGGAGTTATGTGCTATACTTGTGCTCTTGATATGCTCTGCAGTTTTATCTTTTCTTCGCTCATGAGCTTGGTATCTTAGCGCGATTGTGCTGACTGTATTTGTCGACAGGTAGCCTAATCAAGTTGTGCCTTTCTGGCATTCAATCTTGTTGAATAAAATGTGTCGAGGTGTTCTTCGCACATGAAGGCGAGTACCCTCCAAACACAAGCACGCAAGGGGCTAGCGGTCGTGCTTGCCCATAGTGTATCACAGCCCTCAGCCCCAAAACAAGCTCAGTACTGGGGCACCACTACAAGCTTCACAGATCTGGCTTGGCTAGAATGATTGTAAGGGATACTGTTGTTCCAAACTTTCTTGACTGCATTCTATTCCCCTATCTCTAAGCTGATCAACGAAACTGGAGCTTATTGCGGGCGCGCTAAAATAATACTCTGAAGTCAACCAAACCATTTTATTCCACCGCTTGTGGTTATAGAAGCACTCTCATCCACTGCGACAATGAACAAGGCACTACCCCAAAGCCTCGAATTGGCGCGCACGCAACAGGCCACCCGAATAGAGGAATTGATTGAGACACGGAAAAATCGAAGCACTACCCCTAAACGCGCAAGGACGGTGCAAAACTTTACTGTCTTACATCATAACCCCCAAATTGCATTCCTAGATTTGCTGGGCTCTCTACTCATTCATTTACCTACTGCAGGGATCGCAGTGCCTTTTTGGATAGGGGGTTGATGATTATCGGCCTTCTTGCAGCTAATCCAATGTTGGCACTGCTAAATTATGAGCGTTGTTTTGTCCTAACAGGCAATGCTGGGTAGCAGCAGGTGATATTCTTCCCCAACACGCTACGAGGTTTTCAAAACACCAAAATTGCCGCTTATTATGCTCATTGCTTAGTCGAAACCCAGGAGGAGTATGCACTAAAAACACGACTCTATGCGGTGCGATGGTGAGTTAAAATGGATGCCAGTAATTTTAATACTCGCATTATTTTGATGTCCAAACCGATCATCAGTCCTCAATGTACCTTCCAGAAATTATCAGGATTTTGTCCATCCCAGAGTTGTTCGACCTATTCGGCGATTTCTTTCTCCATGGTGAAGTATGTCAAGAGCATCCTCAACTTGATCGCCAGCCCGCCCTCGCGATGCCTTACCGGTTCACTAGTGTGCAGCGCAACCGCTCATAATGTGAAGAAAAACAATATGTTTCTCAACTGCGTACCGTGCGTTATATGGGATTGCCAAAGTACGTACTTGCAAAAAGGTCATTGCACAACCACGTTGAGGTCGACAGGATGTGGCTCGAGACACAGCTGGGACTTCGTCGCCTGCACATTCTGACTTTGCTTCGTAGCGCCGTTTTGCACCAAGCATGATACTATATTGTATGATGTGGTGGGATTCACAATAAAGTGGGAAAACCCTCACCGCCCTTCTGGTGGACTGGGATGCATCCCATAGCAGTGGAGCATCTATTGCCATGGGCGGATCGTCAGCATCCGAAACCATGAAATTCTTCTTTGCCCCGCAGTTTAAAAATTCCGCTCCTGAGCGGTTGTCAACTACTACTGTAAGTATTCTTGTTGGACTGCCGCATTTGTAGGCTCAGTATAGCATCTACGTCGTTGTCGACAGACTTAGCAAAAATACTCACTTTATCGGTCTGAACAGCGCTGTCATGCTTCGGGAATTCGCTCCACTAGTCGTAAACTATGTCTGGAAGATCCACAACTTCTCCAGGAGTATTATGGACATAGGGACCCTAAATTGGTGGCGCATGATTCGCTGACATATTCACCATAATGTGACCACTACAAACCACGCCGAGGCAGATGGACAGACAGTGCAAATCAACGGCACTCTTTTGAGGTAGCTGCAACTCCATGCTTACAAAACCAAATGCTCGGCTTGAATCAACTTACTGTGGTATGTGAATTCATACTATGATGCGATCGTTTAACAGCTTCCCTTCCACATCCCTATTTTATATTGAAGAGCCCCTCGCTGAGCCAAGCCGGGACCTGGTAGTCCGTGGTCAGCAGCCCTAGGAGCAAAGTATGCAGAGAGCAGCTAGCTAGGGCATGCGAGTGTATGTACAAGGCGCAAGAACCAAGGAGGGAACCGGAGGTAAAGGCGGCCGGTGCTGTGTTTTGAGTCTGATGATTCGGTTCTCATCCACATTCATTTCGTAGTAAGTTAAAATTTGCGTTCCGCCCTACGCAGACCTTCGATGGTTTACAAAAGACGAAATTGAATTTTAGGTGTGTTCGTGAGTGATGCTCTCTAGCCGCAGTGCACCAGCAATGAAGTCATTATTATAAACCTGTTCCTCAAGCCAAAAGAAATTCGACTGACACTTACGTAGCCACGTGTTTGTTCACTGAGGATCCGAGGGCTTGCAATGGCTGGTGAGCCAAGGGGAGGATGAGATATTGTACTGCTCCGGTAAAGTAAACAGTATCCAAGTCAAGGATATTCGCTGTGGGCTTCAAAGGTCACTTCTTAACGGCAGCTCGGCTTTAGCCTTTACCTGTATGTCATGCCACACCGTGTCTGTCCTACAAACAGAGCCGAAGCACGAGTGAGCTAGCGAGAGGAGGAAAGAGATTTGCTATGCCGTCTTGCGTGGCGATTAAATTTGCAATAAATCGCCTAACAATGGGTATACCAGTTTTAAAAGATGGCTGTTATTGTGCTTCATAGCTGGCATGGTCATGCAGGATTACTTGGGCCGGTATAGCCGATGCAGCCGGGCTGGATGGCCTCGCGGCGTGGCGCGGGCTGGGGGCGAATCTACATTTCAGTCATTTGAAACTCTGATAATTATGTTCCAACCCAAGAATTACTGAGTTCTACCCTGGTATGTTTGTCTCCTGCAGATCCCCCAGGTTGCTGTTCCACTGTCCGTGCGAGTGCGTCTGAATGGTGTGGCTTGCTGAGGCTCGTAATTGCCCCACCTCCCGCCTGTTTGGTCCTGCTCTCATGATTGTCCTGGAACTGATTGACTGCATTGATCAATACGATGTGAGAGGCTGACGTTCATTTGGTGCGTGGAACTCGGTCTTTGTAGTTGTGGATCCCGGTATCCAGCAGCGCAGCTCGTCCGTTCACCGTCGATTGCTTCGTAGCGGTGGCTACGCTGCGATTCGGGAGCCGAGGCACCTATCCATATGAGTCCCCTGCAATCGTAGACCGTTATAGGGGCTGTGTGCAGTCTAGGGAGCCGTGCGACGCTGAGTCAAAGCTTCTGAGCAAGTATTAGCCTTGGATTGATACCCAGTAGAACACGTGCTCTGAAGTGTTCATTGTTTGCTTGTATTGTGGGAACGCTCACCACAGTACTGTCGCAAATGTCGAAACTATCACAAGTAATCAGATGTCGGGGTTTTATCATGCTGTGTGTAAATACAGATTCTCTTTCTGGGTGGAGCGAGCAGAGCGCTTCCCTTCCATGTGCATAGGGAATATACTGCTTCTAAAGCAAATATTGGAATAAGGGGGCACTTTGTGCCGCTTTTTTATTATGTTCCCTTGATTGTGTTCTATTTGTTGTGTGAAAACCAGGAGTGTGCCCCCGTGCACTTGGCCGTCTTCCCCGGTGGCTTCGACACCTAGATTGTGCAGGAGCTACTGATTCACCCTATTCAGCTGTGACACTAGATTAGTCAAGAAGATGGGGCGAGCGGAAAAAGGTTGCCCTATCTGCTACCACAAGCTTCCCCAGCCTGGGGAAGTTTTGGAGCCCTACGATGAAGAGCTCAACTACTTTATGTGGATTCCCGGATTCGAATGGAAGCCTAAGCCTGTCGCTGAGAAGGAAGCATACGAAACCGAACGTTCTCAGTCAGAAGGCAAGTTTTCCTCTTCGTGTACATCTGCGTGGCGAATTTGGTGCTTTTGTAGACACTGGGCACAAGCTCTTTCCTGCTAAGTGTATGTGAAGCCAGAGATTCTCCTTTGTGTTTGCAAACCCACTTCTGTTGAATGTAGGAGAGGCTGATGAAGATATGGAGGAGGCTCTACAGGAGATGGTTGAGAATGATGAAATGAAACAGAAGTACAGCGACAAGGCTAGCGGTGGGAAAGTTTCAACATCGGACGCCGCAGTTCTTGCTCGGCAGCTTGGCCTTGCCCCATCATATGCAGATGTGGAAAAGTGCGCGGAACAAAACGGCCAGCAGCTGGACTATTCCACTTTCCAGCAGTTTGCTGCTCAGAGCACTCACCCGGAGGACAACGTCGAGGACTTCGTTGGGGCATTTGCGTACTTCGACCCAAATGTGAGATTTGCTAGTGACAAATTTCAGTGATGGTGCTCTATTATATCGTGATATAGACTAGTTCTAGTTCCTATACTTCGAAGCGTAATCTACTTGCATCGTTGAGCTTGCTTATGCCTGGTTTTCTGTAAACAGGGCGAAGGAACACTATCGGTGCAGCAAATGCGCAACATTCTCACCACCTTTGGAGAGCCACTTACCACGCAAGAAATGAACATTGTTGAAACGTAAGTCTGCTTTTCCACAGAGGGACGTACTGTGAGCTTACTGAAAACAAACTTTGCGCCCGATGGGTCAGTGGAGCTTCATGTTTTCTTTGAATCCGTGGATGCGTGTCTACAGGGAATTTTTCCAGAGTAAACGAGTCGACTACAGAGAATTCTGCACGCGGTAAGCATTCAATAGCTAGCAAGATGATCCGGAAGCATGCTGCTTACCTTGGTGGCGGTTCCTGCCGAGGTTGCAGACGCAGATCTGTCCTTACAGGATATGACGGTGTGGACAATTTAGTTCGGCAGTTGTTCACTTCTACTTATGCCTTTTTCCTGCAGGGTTCTTGCTCGCAAGTAAAGCATCGGCAGCTGGTGCTCCAAGTGCAGTTTGTCATTGCCAGTCCTGCAACAATTTAAACAGCAGCCGGCTGATTTGCTACACGCCATATATGGTTGCAGAGTCAAGTTTAGCCACACAGTACGCATGGCATACAGCACATTTATGCTGTCAGGTAGACTTCAGAGCCGGGTATGGGACAATGGAGCCAACTAGGCTGCGCCAGCAGAGTTACCGATTCGCTGCAATACACAAGTAGCAATGCACTTGCACACATCAGCATGAAGCGCTCATACAAGGAGTTCAGTATTGTGTTGATAGCGTGCTGCTACCTTGATCGTTTGAGTGGCTACGCCTGCTTTCGCACTGCGGTCAGTAGTAGTGGTTACTTTGTTCCTTAGGACGGGTCGCACGACTAGCATTTGCGACACGACATTTGAAGTGCCTTTCAGTCCGTTAAGGTGTTTGTTACACGCCTACGTCGCAGTGGTATTGCAGGCGCAAATTTCATAGCGCTCTTGTGCAAGTTCAAGTATGGTCGAGTTTTCAGGTGGACAATAATGACTGGTTATCAACATAAATGAAAGGGGGCAGTGCACAGCAGCCCACATGGTATTGTGTCGCTCATTGGAAAACATGTTGCACATCGAACCAGAAGTGAACATAAATCAAACTTCCTTTTAATATCTATCCCTGGAACTCGTTTTTGGCGTTTGAACCACTGGAAGGGTACATTAGGATAACAGAACGCGCTAGGCTCTTAGAGTGCTTCTCCCTCCGCATTAAAGAGTTGGCCGCCTCTGCCCGCGACGCTCTCTCCACAAAAGCGGGCTCCATACTGGCGGGCCCCGGCAGGTGGGGTGACATGATGTGCGCAGATGCACCAGTTTCGATATTGCTCCCAAGCAGGCGGCATTTGGAACCGAGATTTAGCTGCAGGATTTAAAGTTCGAGTGAAGGTAGACGTGCAGCACTCTCTGCAAAGCTGTATCTTCGGAGTCTTCCACTTGGCCACGTGTAACTGCTAGGAGATGGGGGTCCCTTGTCAGTTGGGGCATCGGTTGCGGAACGACTTGTCCTATCCCCGCTGCTCAGACGTAGATGTGAGTCTCAGTCTGCATTAGCATGGAACACTGTACGCGTGCGGAGAATAGCGCGACCGCTAAGAAGTGTAGCTGCGTGCAACAGCACCCACAGCCCTGACAGCTGAATCTCACCATCTAGGAAGCATTCACGACTGAGCTCCATCCAAAAGAAGAAATCTCTCCAGTAGAAATAAGGAGGTGATTGAGGATTCACAGGGCCGTCGTATTCCTGTCTATAGACAGCATTGGACGCATCCATGCCTTGAAAGACCTCGGCAGCCCGTTTTATGTCTGACATACCAGTAGTGCCCAGATACTCATCCCGCTGGGTGTGGAAGTGAAATCGATGCTCATCGTCTTGCGGAGCTCCGTATAAGTCATGCGCAGACGGCTGGCTGGACACCTGGGCGCTTGTGTCGGCCGCAAATGTCTTTAGGGCCGCTACAGTCATTTTGCTCTGTTGGAAGCGCCCGTGAATCTGCACAACGAGATTAAGCGTGAAAAACACTAAGAAGGTGGCAACTGCGACCAAGAGGTACTTGAGCTTCATTTGCAGTTCGAGTTCATCCAGAGTCCGCATGCAAACACTGCAGGATTCTTCTTCCTTTCCCTGAAGTGGTTGAGCATGACTACGACGTACAGAAGTTGTGTTCTGCCTCCTCCGATGGCTACCACTTGTTAAGGTGGAGGCACTCCCAGGAGCAACTGTCGAGAGGGAGTATGACACCAACAACGAGAGGGTGCCCATGACAGCCAGGGCCAGCCAGCCGCAACAGCAGGACATGCCAAGTTCCCTTTTTACAGCGACAGGCAACTGGTGCTGTGGCATAGGTGTATGGAGTGGAGTCGCCGCACTAACAGGTGTACTATGGTTCTGCAGCACCTTGTCGATTAAGTTTGCCGGCTGCCAGACGTGTTGCAACGATGTACTCCCGATTACAACCACATCTAGAAGCAACACTCCATAGACTAGCAGCAGCCTCCTGTCGAAACGCACTCTTCCTTGGGGACATTGTGGCTCCGCAAGTGTCATGGTGGCTGCCGGCTCACTACGCACGGGCGGCGAAGCCATTGCAGCTACAGGCCAGACAAGATGCCAGCTTAGCCTCCCGATGCGTCAGACACGCCCAAAAATAAGATCTCTTCAAAAAATCCCAAAGACGTCCTTATTCTGGTCGCCAGAAGAGTTCACTATGAGCCATCCCGACCTACAGCATGACCGCGTCCCCCCGCCGATGAAAGTGGTCAGATCCTTGTCCCAGCCTAGCTAAGCAGCTCAGTGCTGTTTCCTAATCCAGCTAGAGCAATTCTGTAGACGTATGACTGTGCCTTGCCATAGTCGTAGGGCCGTACATGCTAGAATTTCCCAGTGAACTCCAAGAAGAAAGGGGGCTCTACAATGTGCATGACTTTGTTCCGCCTTGATGGGTAACAGTAATATACAGTGGAAGGCAGGAAAACGCAGGGGGGTGAAGTATGCTTTGCAGACAAGCGAAACAGGTGGAGCTGACGAAGTGCCCTGCCGTCTTGAGAGCATGCCTTTGAGAGTTACCCCGCAAGCATCACACCAGAAAAGGCCAAGTCTTACTACATTTGCTCAACGATGCTTCAATCTTGTTTCAGTGGCCTACGAGTTTGAAGCCTTGCTTGGACACATACGGCGCGATGAGCGGCTAGGAAAGGGGGCCCTTTCGCGCGTGGGGTGGTGTCTGGGGTCTTTGCCAGCGGAGCGCATTTTATCCTGTGGCTAGTAACTATTGCCATGCGACTCATTCATGAAATTCTTAGAAGCTACGACTGCAGGCGTCCTTCCTTGTAGGAAGAATACAGCCGTGTGTGCTGATGCCGCTTCCATCGGGTCTTTCAATGAGCGTCCACATGACATGCCTGCCTTATGCTCGGCACCATGTGTTGACTTGAAAGCGAAGCGGAGCTCTCCATTCCGCGCTTCGTGGGTGTATGCAGCTGCAAGGATATTGGGAACATGGGCACGAAGAACAGCTCGCTCCATTCTGCGACTCAACTCGACAGCAGCATTACACGCGTAGACACAGTAGACTCAATTAACACAATAAATCAGGTGCTCATCCTGTCCTTTCTTCTGCTTGGTGACAACGGCTATCCTCAGCTTTCTCCTGCATTCAGAGCAATACTTTGCCCGTTCGGAAGATGCGGTCGAAAGGGATTATCCTGTCCCTTGGCAGCAGTATTTTTTTAAAGAAAGGCCGGTTTTGGCTGCAGCATCGAGGGTCATGGCTAAATAATCAGAGCCGTAAACTGAGCACGGGGGGGGATAATATTATTGGCATTACAGGCAGTGGGGCTCCAGCTGGCAATACCTTGGCTGCCCCAGAGTCCGGACTCGTAGTGATAGGCTCAGGCCAAATGGGCACTGGAATTGCATTAACAGCAGTGCGCCACATACGAGACATGCACGTTGCAGTGCTTGATATATCGGAAGCGCAGCTTCAGCGTGGCCGCAAATTTTCTGAACTCTGGGTGCAGAAAGAGGTCGTCAAGGGCAAGCTAGATCAGTTAGCGGCGGAAAGTTTGCTCCAACGCTTGACCTTTTCAATACTCAATCCGGATGCGCTCATCAAGCGGGATGTATCGGCTGCACCAGAAGCTGTCCAGCGCGCCAGTTTCTGTATTGAGAGTGCCAGCGAGAACCTGGCAGTCAAGAGGAGCCTCTTCGCCTTCTTGGACGCCGCTGCTCCGCAAACAGCAGTTCTGGCGACAAATACCTCTTCGATTTCCATTACTAAGATCGCCGCAGTGACACGGAGACCTCAAAAGGTCATTGGCATGCATTTCATGAATCCGGTTCCGGTTATGCCACTCGTTGAAATAATCTCTGGCCTTGACACGGACGACCACACAAAGCAACGCACTGAACAGCTCGCTTCTCATATGAAAAAAACTACAGCACATTCTCAGGATCGACCAGGCTTTGTCGCGAACCGCCTGCTCATGCCATACATAAACGAAGCGGTCTTCGCCTTGCAGGTAACGAATGCGACAGTGGCTCATAGGAAGAGCAGCGTGGGGTTCCTGTAAATCTCTTGAGCGAGTTTGTCAAAGCACTTTTCCCACTCCGCCACTACCGAATTCCCCTTATGAAGAACGACCACTTGGGGCACTTTTTTACGGAGGGAAGTTGCGTACAATGCTATGCGTCTCAGGAAGGAATAAGCAGCGCGCAAGACATCGACCGCATAATGCGACTCGGTGCAAACATGCCAATGGGTCCACTAGAACTTGCGGACTTTATCGGTCTGGACATTTGTCTTGCTATCCTCCGTGTGTTGCATTCAGAGCTCGGTGACTCAAAGTATCGCCCAGCGCCGCTGCTTACACAGTATGTTGACGCCGGCTACCTTGGGAGGAAGTCTGGACGTGGATTCTACGAATACCATAATGGGCAATCAGTCATTCATAAGTAATTATGCTTGAGAAATCTGAGTACACTGGCACTCGCAGTGCCACAGCACTCGGCGTCCTAGAGGCAGTGGGTAGTGAAACTCATGCGGCCGCCTGAGAGCCGCCGGGCGCCATGTCTGCACCTTGTATGCATGCTCCAATAAACTCTATTGTGGGTGTGGCGCTACTCATATACGGCGTCACAGTGTTGCTGCGAGCTAAACACGGTTGACTCCTGTCAAGGCGATCAAGCGAGGCTGAATGAAAGAAAGTTACCCCTGGGGCTAAAGCCTCAAGAAGGCGGTTGGGGAGCAGCGCTTTCGTGTATTTACCTGGAAAACAGCTGGATCTACAGCACTTGGATCATATCGAAACTACAGTGCTAATTGACCTAATCCGAACGGGAGTTGCTTTCTAACCCTCAAAGCACAAGCCAACGTACAGCCGTGGGAGATCACCATGTGCAGCGACTCCTTGCCCTATTCTTTTTCTAGCAGCACTTGCCGATATATACTTCTTATCCCTGCCCGCAACGATGGGATATAAAAGGAATGCGTCTCTTCGAAGCCAGAAAACTGTACCACCAAGAGTTACAACACAAACCCATGTGAAGGCAGGCTGACCGTTAAAGGTAATGGCGTTCGGCGGTTGCGGCGACACATATCATGTGTATCTCGATTTTTGGAAGTCTTCATCCCTGCTTTACTTCAGCTCACATTGCGAAAGGGCCGCTTTTTTTTTTTTGAATTTGCGGAGGCCCCTGCGGCCTGAGCTCTTTTTCCCCAGTTCGCTAGGCATTGCAGTAGCTGAAGCTGTTAACTGTTCCCTGCCCAGAACTGCTTTTAGAGGAAAACAGTGCTAGCACTGGGTGTGTAGGGTGTCAGCCGCCTGATTACTACAGATAGAAAATGCATGATAAAGCGCCAACTTTCACGACTCTGCATGGGCCCTTCATGCGGCTCGCTTGACTGTCTAAAGCTCCGGAATCGGGAACAAGGTAACATGTGTGGAGGTTTCAAAGGCTTCAAGCCGGGTCTATGTTTTGGAGGGCCGCTACTACACTATTCTCTTTCTACTCGTCAATAATACAGTTCCACCCCTATACCCTGGCAGTGATTCCTACGCGGATGGACCCCAGTAGTGTGCAGTATATTGTGTTACATCTGCATATAGTGGCAGCCCCACAGAATGGACCTTCAACGAAGCGGATTGGTTCTCGGTTTCACAGGGCTCCCTTCGTCGGAGCCTGGAAACGGTATGATAGCTTGCTTGAATAGTGGAGTCTTCATACTGTCAATGGGGATAACTGTGACCCAGTTTCTGAATACAGGTTCCCCTTTGTGTGCAACTGTCCTTCATTTCAGCTCAGAAGCCATCTACACACTGCAGTCAACATTACATCCTGCCCGCGGAGTGTAGCAGTTTGCCTGAGGAAAATTGTAGGCTCTGAGATATATGACATTTAATTCTGCACACAAAGGCGAACTACAGTATATATAGAAGAAGTGGACTAATGTTCCCCACCCCCTGAGATCTGATCGTTTAGCGCCTTCTATGCCGTGGAAGAAGGCAGACGCCGCACGCACTCAGACGGCAGGCCATATACAGTTTGAAGCAGTGCATTTTATGACATTAGAAGGCTATGTATAGAAGATTTTTGCTTATGTGTGACTGGCCCGTAGAGTAAAAACACCACAGTGGGGCCCCCAATGGAGACCGGTCCCCAACATGAGCCACCACTGGAGCCCCTCCTTACCCGCGTAGGCATGCTGTCCAACTGCATACAACTGCACCCGGGCAGCCCACAAATAGAATAAGGTATTGTATTCCTTTCTACCATAGCATCGGAGAGTTTTGACTCTAAGTGTAGAGGAAGCGGCCTCACACTGAAAAGGCGAGGCAATCGTTCTCCTACTATGCACTCACAGTGTTCGAATAAGGAGAGTTCTTTTGAGGATAATATGAAGGGTATGGAGCGAGAACAAAGTATGGGCAGCGATCAGGTACGGCGGGGTGAGTTTGAGCAGCCCTCTGCCCACGCACTGCATTCCACGTGGGAGGAGATATACCAAAGGGAGCTAAAAGCAGCGGCAGCGCGGAAGGCATATATAAGTAGGCAGGGCAGGAGAAGTGTCCGCGAACGGGAAACTGTTGACAGTGGAAGTCGGAGTGAAAGCAGGAGCAGCAGCGTAAGCAGTGACACCTCATCGATAGAAGGAGAAGAATGGTTTGGGCCAGAGTGCATCAAGATTGCTAGCTGGGTCAGCAGCACGCTGGGAAAGACCCACAATCATCCATTGCAGCTCTATTTTCGCGCTCTCCATGCGTCACGTGGCACTTTTGGCAGTGTCGGGGAGGCGTGCGTGGGCAGTAGCTGTGACTGGTGCAGAGGGGAAGGCATTCTGATTTCCAAAGAGTTCATGAGACTGCCAGTGCTGGACGTGGGGTGTGGGGGCGGGCAGGTTTTGGCGAGGCTGAAGCGATGCGGCTTTCAGCGACTCGCCGGTATTGATTATTCGGCAAGCGCTATCCAACTTGCCAAGTCAAACCTCCGGTACCGGCATTTTGAAGAGAATGGAGGTAAAGGGTTTCATATTTGTCTAAGGCAGGCTGATCTTCGAGATTTGAAGCCACTTCGTGACCCGACCGCAACAAATATGCATCTTCCGTGTATATGCTGCCACTGTGAAAGCTGCAGGGCACCTGCGAGCTCCCATGAAGAGACACACGCAGATGAGCGGGCGGATCCTCTAGCTTCCAGCACTTGTGAGCCTGTGGATGGTTTACCACATTTTCCTGTGGTGTTCGATAAAGGAACATTCGATGTCTTTTGGCTGATGCACACGCCCGAGGTGTATGTACAGTGCATGCATCGCTTGATGCCGCAATACGGACTGCTCTTCTTGACCTCATGCAATTGCACAGTGGAGGAGCTTGATGCTCTTTTTTGCTTTAAAAGTGAAGCAGCAGCACAACCGACGGCAGAGCAAACTCCAGGGACCAGGGTCGACGGTGCAACTCCTGAAAGTGCACCCGGTCCAAGCATTTCAACAACCCCCTATTGTGGTATTAGTACCTCACTGACTAAGGACCTGTGTAACGGAGATGCATCAGGGGGTTCACTGGACACCAAATCTGGTGTAGCATTCGAACGGATTGGGACGTTACCTCACAGGTCCTTCAAATTTGGTGGAGCTGAAGGACAGGTGGTAACTTCAGTGCTTCTCAGACGGCTCTGACTTACATTGCCAGCATCCCTGGTTGCATACGGCAGGCCAATACTGGTATGCCTACGTTGTGTGTCCGTCGCAGCAATTGGGTGTGTCCACGTGTTTGATCTTCCGAGTGAAACTACAACAAAAATTTGGGGCTGATATGTGGTTTCCACCGCTCAGCTTGTTGATCCAGAGCTCTTTTGAGCCCATTTTACACATCCGTAAGGCAATCTAATTTTGTATCGCTGATAGAAAAGCAGAAGTTAGGGTTGTCAACTATTGGGTCATGCCTAGAGAATTGCACGGGTCAGTGCGTGCACTGCTGTACTGCTCCATTCAGGGTCTCGTTGAAACCAATTTTAGTTTCAGTAAAGTTTAATATAAAGATATCGAGCTTTATCCTGTAAGCGCTTCATACCTCCCCTGCTAGCACCCCTCAAAGTTACGATGTGATGGAGAGGGAAGGCAAGGGGGCGCGCAGCCGCACCCTCCATAAACTCCGACCATACGCAGCTTGTCTCACATAGCATTAAGCGCTCATGCACAGAAATCTGCGTTTCCTTCTTACGAATTAACACTACGTAGCAGCAATAATTACGATATGGGATCGGGTAACCAGTTAATGAGGCTGCTCAAACGTGGTTTTCACCTCCCTCAAAGTCCAGAGAATGTGCTATTCTCCAACGCAGTATGTCCCTAAAACCTATTGCCATACAGTGGATTTAAGGCTGACCTTGAGGATCTAGATGCAGCAGGATGCTCTCACGAATAGCTGCGGATCATCACGCTTCATTAAGCAGCACTGCCCTTCCAGTTCGCAAGTGGCCCTAAAAATGCGTTTTTGACCCAAATGCCGCGTTTGATTCTAACAATCAAAAGGGGCTGGACCCACTTCTTTCTTCGTGCTATCAAGCGTCTACAGTTTATTTCCACATCGCTGATTAGCAGCTTCTTCTAAAGATGCGCACATTTTGGACCAGTTTCTGTCTTCTTCCCTTATGTGAAAAATCACTCTGTCATGAAGCTAAATAATTAAAAGGGTAGAGCGAGCGAGTACCAGGAAGCCCTGTGTGACTGGTCGGTCGGTGGACGGTTGTTCTACGACCACGCATGTGACCAGCGGTCATATAGCGGGGCGCAAGAACACAACGTTGGGCCATTACATGCTCTCCAAATGTTATAGAGCTGATGAGGCAATGCATCATTGGCAGATGTGATTACCTCGGAACCCTCGTGCTCGCATCACAGCCGAGAATGACTCCGGAACGCATCTCTCCCCTCATAAGAACCACGCATCCGACATAGTGACCACAGCCCAGTTTCTCCCCAGTGCCTCTACCTAGCAGCGTTTTAAAGCCTTACGCCTTTTTAATTATAACTATTTCAACGCTTTTTTTCCTGCTGGTTGACTTGTGTCGCGTATATCAAAGCTTCGTCACCCGTCGGTTCCTCCTCTATCGAGAGTTGCCTATGGCCGGAACTTCCGTTCCTCTTTCTCCGGCACAGACACCGATACTCAAAACCCTCCTTAAACGCTGGTAGCTTCGGACATATAACCAGCCAAAGCTACCTGTTTAGCGCTCCAAAGCCGCGCAGTGCATACTGTGCACTTGCGTAGGGCGACCAGCCCGGTCACCGGAGTTTCAAGGGCAAAAAACAAAGAAGTCCGCCCTGCTTGGTGTCACGGGCTTCAGTGCGCGCCAGATGTTCCTGTGGTATTAACTTGCACCTCCCGCTCAGGATTACGCGCACGAAGTCTTTAACGAGTGCTCGGGTCGTTTCTGCATTAGAAAGCGAACCGGAAGCTTTGAGTAGCATACAAGGAGGAAGTGAATTTGAAAACCCCGCCTCAACATGCTATCTGGCTGAAGGCTGTATTCCACGCTTGAGGCAAGCCGTTGGTCGCTTGGTCGCCCGCTGTGTCATGCGATCTGCTTTTCCCAGAGGCGCGCATAGCCCCTGACCCTCTAAATGAATGGTCCACTTTCTGTCATTAGCTATTATCAAGCGGCTTTTCGCTGATGCCATGCATGTTATGTCCTCCATTTGGTGCTTAATGTGGTCTCGCTACATTTCTAAGAGGTCTCGTTGCGGTCTCCCGCAGGCATTACCTGTCGGCACAATTCGGGAGCGTCCGATTCCCCGACACAATTAGTTTGTTGAAGCAACTATTCTGTTGAATCCCGTCACTTTGGGTACTTTTAACCTCAAAGGCCGAGCAAGCTGCTGAGGCAACAAAAGTGTTCCTGGCTCCGACATGGCGGCACAGATGCCAGTTCCGTCAGGATGCCCAACAGCCGTGGCCACTTTTGCTGACACCCCGCGAAACCAACTGCATTCTTCCCAGCAGCCTGCAGCAACAACTACTGGCCGAATATTCAAGGAAACACAGGGGCTTTTGACGCAAGGGTCCTTACTCCTTCCTTGTGCACCATCCGCATTCTCCTCCACTGGATGCTTGAGTCAGCCCATCGAACCCTCGCTAACACCCGTGCAGCCTCACTGGCTAGGGCCATATCATCCCCCCCTTCAAGGCATTTCTGATCGTCCTCCCTCCCTGGATGTAGTTCGCAATTTGCTAGGTGCCCCTCAGGCAACTCGGGAGGGGCAGCCAAAGGCCCCTTCCTTTGCGACTCCAGGATCATCCAGTGAGCGGGCAATAATTGGCGGGAAGCCGCAGCGCGCGCTGAACAGCGTGGCTCTGCTCCGCGGCAGCGGAAGGCCCCTTATTTTGGAGCTGAAGCACTCACTAAACGTGGTTCAGCAGACTGCCGCTACCGCTGGAGAAGAGCCGCAGAGTCAGGGGGCAGCGGAGGGATTAATGGCAGGACCTGCACTATTCAACAACAAGCTCAAGAAGCGCATCGGCGCCAGCACAGTAGCTGAGCTCAAGAAAAGACTGCTTCTGATGCCGCAGGTGGAGGATATCGTCGAGGCTGCGGTGATCCCCGAAGACTCTGCTTTCAACCACCAGGAGTCTGAGGAAAGACCAACGTATGTTAGTTCCGAACATTATGTGTTTGGTGCTGCGCCAGTTCGCCTTCGCGCGGCCTGTGACGGAGTAGAGGTTCTGGCTAAGATGTATTTCCACATGAAGAAACTCGCATGGCGAGCTGAACTCCTCATCAATGGGACAAAAAGGCAGCGCTCCTTTTCTTGCAAGGTACGGCAAGCTGAACACCACCATATGTTGCCGCCTCTATTTCCATTCTCATGCGACGCCCTTTGCATGGCTTTCCTGGGGCAGGCCCCTCCATTGGTGTATAAGTCTTGTTTGCGCTTTCAAAAATTGTGTTTGACTTTTCGAGGACGCGTCATCTGGCGGTCTGCAACAGCTCCCTAAGGCTCCGTATTCTCATTGCGGTGGCTTGAGCCAGACTCGTGGTGTTGCCGTGCGAACGTTCCTCAGCTTTATGGATATGAACGAGCTCGCTTAATGTGCGAGTGGGCTCGCAACTTTGTCATGCGGACGGCTACTCTCCCCGGCGACGATGACACAAGGGATGCCTTGACAGTATTGATGGATTTCAAGCTCCCCAGTGATAATGACGGCTCTGCCGTGCCGGACCTTGTCGATTGGCTGGTTACCTTCCCCCCCAAAGCGCCTAAGCTGGTTTATCGCATGCTGTCTGAAGAGGAGACTGCTGCCTTTAAGCGCCAGAAAAAGCTTGAAAGATCAGCTGCGAAAAAGGAGCACCAGCCGGACGCTGAATGGCCTCTCACCTCTGGAGCAGACGGGGGGCGGGAAGGGCAGAGAACTGATCGCGAGATGAACTCCCAACCTCACGCGGCAGACGCAACGCTCCTGCAGGAGTCCGAAGAAACGCGTGAGGATAAGCGTACAGTAGTGTCGGCTCCGGAGCTCGTTGTAAACTTGGATTCCCCGCAAACGATGGAGTCAGAAGCAAAGACAGAGGCTTCAGCGGGGGGGGAACTTCTGGCAGCACCAACAACGGCAACTGCCGTGGCGGGGCAAGCATGCGCGGACTGCGAGGCTGGAGGGTATGCAGACGTTCTCTGCGAGGAAGCTACAGGAAATTCAGGATGCTGTTCAAGCAGCTCTCGCTTTCTTCAAGCCGGGAGCGACCAGGAGGCGATTGCTGCACAGGCCCTTGTCCATTCAGAAGGGCATCCTTCTGCGCCAAGTCAAGCGACCATTGGAGGCGAAGATCCCGTAAGCTCGGATGCGCTCTGGAAGAAGGTCTTTCCGGAGCTGGCCCTCCTGCCTGTGCTAGTTGCAGCTCAGATGAGAAGGAAACGCAGAAGAGTTGGCAAAAAACCTCACAGTGGCGTGCGAGGAATGTACTTCCAGCAGGGTGCATGGAAGGTAGGTCTGTCCGTGACGCTGTCTGCTACGAGAAAGGAATCCTCCCTACACCGCAAAAAACAGGGCATATTGACGCAAGCTAGTCTATGTACAGATCTATTATATAGATGTATGTAGATTTGTACGCGAGCGGTGGAGCATCTGCTGCCTGCAGATTAACTACTTCGGAGAGTTCGGCGAAATGTCCAAGCTGTTTCCTTACACTCACGGAGTCAGTTTGAAACCTTTCGTTCCCAGTTGATACAGCAGAAGGAAGTACAGGACTGCTCGGGAAGCTAGGGCACTGGAAATACTCTAGTTTGCATAGGCAGACGTGGCAAGAACCTTAGGGGAAGAGAAAAGAAGCATGCACCACTGTACTAAAAAGCGGAGTTGCACGCGAGAGCCGTTCAAAGGAGCAGATAGAGCTTAGCGCTTCATTCTTGCAGCGTAGATCCCAGAGTGTCCAGGACGGACGTCGCCGATGGCGTGCTGCTTCTTATGACTGCAGAATGCCAAGGAAATGAAACAGCAGCATATGTTGGCACGCCTCTTCTTGAAGCACGTCATTGAGAAAAACAGACAAATCCATGAGAGCGACGGCGAAGGACTTTCCGACGAAGAGCCAGGCAAGTTGCCCCGCCTTCCCTTTCGATGAACAATGGGGGAATTTTAATATAACAGAGCCTCACGGCAACACGCGCGGGATCTCTGCCTTTACATGCATGCGCTTTACTGAGGTCCTCCCTACAAGAGGCCTTCGAATAGCTTGTATATACATATATATATAGATGCCGCGTGCACCTTTTCGCAGAGTGGGTTAAAAGCTTGAACGGAGCACAGCACTCAGCGAACTCGCCGACCCCTCCACGGCTGCAAGAGGCCATTGCTCGCAAAGAACCTCTGTCCACGCCATACAGCCCCTATCTGTCACCGAAACAACAAACGCTCCTAATGAAAGAGCCTTTACGGCGTTTCATCGGGAGTTTCGGGCCGAATAAAGGGGAAGAGTGGCCCTTAGTGCATCGCGCGGAGGAGCACCAAGCGTCCGACAGGCTCCAAACGACAAAGTCTATGGAAACACGAACCGGCCAAACAGATACCCACTCCACCCGTTCGGTGAACTCCGAGGTAGCACAGCAGCAACGGCGAGATAAACAAGCGCCTTGCAAGCTGCAAGAAGAGCATGGATTGCGGCAGCAGTCGTCGCCTCTTCACGTTCCTCGGCCCCCTTCACGGGAAGCGGAGAAGCACCCGTCGAGTGCCCCTGCTCCGCCGAGTTCGCTGCCTAAGGAGGCTCAGGAGAGCCAATCGACCGACGCGCTTCCCTTGTCTCTGCAACCTGGAGTCCAGCATGGTTTGTGGAATGCTGCAATCGAGCGGAGCGAGGGCTCAATAGACCTCAAAAACAACCCCTACAATGGCAAGTATTATGCGTCGCACAGCGACGAGTATCACGTCGCACTACGTTGCGAACCTGAGAAACATCGAAATCTGGCAGCCCCAACTCTTCTTGTTAGCCATAGCCAAGGTCTCCAGCCTCTGCACGTTCCGAGCAGCAGGCCCTTTCTATGCATTGAAGCCCCCCCCAACTCTGCCAGCGTTTTTCTGGGGGATATCCCGAGTGGTGAAGGCGGATGCAAACATCTTGCTGCTTCAGTCCTCCAAGGGCGGCCTACTTCTGAAAGCTGGCAGGAAGATTTGGAAGAACATATAGGGCCGACAATCTCCAGCGCCAGCAAGGATATCTTAGGCCTTGAGGGACTGCTACACTACCGCCAGCCAAATCAAGCCTATGTCTTTCAAAGGTCAGGCTTCCGCACGCATCTCCCGTGTGGTGTAAGGAGTGACGCATTCAATGTGGAGAAGCTCATGAGCTGCAGTCGGACTCCACACGACGGTCTGCAGGCTTGCAACCCGGCCGAACACATGGACTTCAACTTGGTCGACTGTGCACTTGTCTTAGGCAGTCCTGCAGGCACCATTTCCTCGGGGTGCTGGGTGGGTGGGATTCCGCAGCACACGTCACGCATCACCTGCGAGTGGGAAACACCAGCCAACATCGCTCTTTTCACGCCTATGGCTCAGCAACATCTGTTGCAGCGCCACATGCAGCCCCTTCAGGGGACAGTAACTAGAAGCACCACCGCAAGTAGCTTTAGCATGGGCCTCTCGCAACCTCTCGACCCCTGCAAGCAGTCGCTCAGTGCGGCGTGCTCGCCTCCCTAGCGCTCTTTCAAACGGCACACCGCGGAGCAGAACTCGCCTTGACAAGCATGGCACAAGTGTAGAGATCCCTGGCTGTCTCAGCAAGTTCCCACGATTGTATGCGTCTGTCGCTTGCTTATTTGTTCACACCACATATGTATGTATATGCGGACCCCGACAAAAGCACTAACAAGCCATGGTAGTACAGTTACGGCACCAACACAAGGACCAGCAAGTTGGCCCTTTCTCAACCTCTTGAGGGCCCCCTCCCCCCCACAGAAACAGGCGTTATCTCCCCGCACCGCATGGGAAAGCACAGAAACAATAGCTGCATACCTTCATCTGCACATGTGACAGCGAGACCCCCTACGTTTCTGTCCACACAGCCAATTCGCCATAGGGTTTGCATGGCCACGCATAATCCTAACGTCATGTGCCACTCTACGGGCGCAAAGCGCAAAAGGCCCCTCCTGCGGCCGTCGCCGTTCAGCAGCAGTGCTCTGCTTCCTAAGAGATATAACCGAGCCATCGTAGGGCCTCGCTGATGTTAAAGCTAAACGGTCTTGCTGATCGAAACTCTGAAGGGAACCACTTGGATTCTCGAAGAGAGCCTAACAGGCACTTACTTTTTATATCGTAGTGGAAACCCGTGCAGCTCAGACAGCAGAAGGGTAATATGTGGGTCATGACATGACCAAATTATCCCATACGCATGCAATGCTTGTGGGGAAACGGGCGTCTTGTGCTGAATGGGACGTATTATGCCCAGGGCAGGCCAGCGCCTTACAGTGCGCCCGACAGCAACCAGTCACAGGAGGGCCTCTCGCGCATTATGCATGGCGTTAGACTGTCGCTGCTATCCGTTTCGTATATACGTGGACAAAAGCACTCACGCCATGGGCGGTCAGTCACAGTTAAAGCGCTTAACCTTGCCTGTGCAGCATGCGGGCGAGCTGCGGGCAGGCATCTGCACGGAGGGTGTCGCGCACTAGTGTTGCTGGATACTACCTGCCTCCACATGCTTGGATCGAGGTTTGAATAAGAGACCACATCAGGGCCTGCAGCGGAAGGGAGAACATGGTTTTGGACTGGGGTGTGAATATCACACACGGGCATTATAATGAACTCATCGGCTTCCTTGGGAGAAGTCTTGCTTTCCCCTAGGATCACGCCGTTTCGCTCTGTGCAAGGCTTTTCATGGTTTCTACCCCGGATATATACTACTCAGCAAGTGCTCATCGGCTGGGCTTTCGAGAGTAGAGCGGGAGACTGTCATCAAGACAGAAGTGTCCTGGTCCGTTTATGGCCTTGCCAGTCTGCCCTCGTGTTCATCACCTAGGGTCGCATCTTCGTCGCGCGTCTTACTCAAGTGGGAGGTAAGCCAAAAGCGCAAGCACACAAAGAAAAGCGTTGCCTTTGAAGAGCAGCAGGTGGCATCCACACTTGCTTCATTCGCTTAACACAGGGCGCTTTGTCGGCAGTAATCACGAAGTGCTTCCCGTGTCTCTCCACTGAAGACCTACACTGGATGCATTTCCCTCCATCTTCCAGGTCCCTTTGCAGAATTTTTAAGAGACCAATAGCATGTAACGCTGCTTAGAGAGGGCTCAGCCCCCATTCACACAGAGTCAGTCACAAATCAAGCTTTGCAGCTTCGTGTCTGCAGCCCAAGAACTCCTCCTCTCACCGCTGCTTCTTTTTTTCTGTGCGTAGCTGGCATGCATCGTAGACCAGTGCTCCACTGGTTTGGCCTTGTATGACCCTTGGCGGTCGCTTTTTGAAATCCCGTTATAGCATAGTCTTCCGATGCACATCCTGTAGCAGACTAAACAACTTTTACAAATCTGGCGAGGTATGCCACTGACTGTGTCACCAAATCTACTGCGGGACAACTCCACAGCCAGTGCAGACCAAAGTACCTGGAATGCACAGAGCCCGTTCTTCCCACTCAAGAGAGCTTCGCAAAGGCCATAGGAGGCTTCGCTATGCTCTCTAAAGCCAGTTAAATTACGACATAGGTTGAGGTTTGTATCATCCACATCCTCTGCCACAACTGTAATGGGGCGTACACGTTGGACGTGCATGTGCACTCGGGATGTAGCATGTGCATTAATGGTGATTAAAGCCTGCTGAGGCATTGTTTAGGGTGCAGGTTGCAGCCACAGCCGACATACGGGTTGCCGCTAGCCGTTTCAGGCTGTGGTCTACGATAGTGGGCGTGAAAGGAAGGTACACTGCTCCTTCACAAGAAGAAACCTGTCGTTAAGCCCTTCGGCGCCCCTCCTGCTTGTTACGCCATGCGGAAGAAATGCTTGCGAAGGGATATCATAGTGCCGAAAAGCCGTTTCATCTTTTCTTCCTCCTCATGCTGTATGTACCTCTCCTCGGTAGGCATTGACCTTCATGCGCCTCTCTGGGGGTTCCCGTTCAGTGCCAGCTGCCTAAGGGCGGCCTCTTGTCTTCGATAATACACAAGAAACTGCACAACATACCCAATGAAGTAGCTAGTTTCCTTGCCTGCTCCTTGCCTTGGAGGCCTTCCTTCGGGGGTTCGAGTGTATGTGACTTCTGTGTAGGCTCAGACTCGTTATCAGGAGCTCCTCTCGCTAACACAAAGGCATCGCCATTGTGTTTTTGCTTTTTGCCAAGCAGACACCTCAACATGTGCTATATGGATGGCGATGCATGCCGAGACTCGCATGGCCCCGCACACGCCACGCTGTGGCGGGGCCAGTGTGTCTGGAGAGTCCCTTCTTTTGGTTTGTTGTTGCCGCCGGTATATTCCGAAGGCAAACTATATTTAGGAGTCGAATTCCTTAGTTCTGTCCTCGGACTTTGATCTTTGAAGTGCCGCGCGGCTGTGTCTCGCTGTGGGGAGACACAGCAGAAGAGACACCGAGGGTTGGATTTAAGCGCAGTAGTGCCCCAGTTGTGTGGCTCCTTCCAAAACACTGGCCCTGTAGAAGCATTACTTCTGCCAGGTACACGAATTAGGAGGCTGTGTGATTTCGCCGTCTAATTTCAGAGCACCCCACCAGCGTGTGTCTATAGTGTAGGGCCTCCTGACCGACAGGCAGACCACGAAATCGTCTTCCTCCTGCCTCCCTGGCAATACCCCTCCTGCAGCATCGTGCGCAGCCGATCCTGTTTCTCTGTCGAGCTTGTCTTAACTGTGAGCACCTGCATTTCGCCCACCTTCCTCCGAGCTTCTGTCCACTAGACGCGTATCCGTTAGGGTCCAGGCTGGTCGTAGCAGTGCTGCATGGCTCCTTAGGCCTTGTACTTTTTTCGGCATGTCGTGTGTGCTCGCCTCTCTGTCTGCAGCGACAATGCGCCACAGTCTCTGCGCGGCTGCCCTGGCGGCGCTGCTGGGGCTTGTTGGAACCTCTTCCGCAATGATCAGGAGACAGAATTGCGCGCATGCGCCGTCTTTGAGGTCCTCCTCCGCGGGTTGCACTGTTGCCAATGAATCTTCGCCAAATGTCTTGACTTTGGCCTTCGTTGGAGGCCTGAGGGCGCCCAATTCTTTGCACGTGAGCAGTCTCGTGGTTACCGCCTTCCAGCCTCCCTTGTTTCCGCCTCAGGAGTTGCGCCCAGTGCGCTGCAAGAGGGCGAAGAGGAAGGGAAGTCTTCGCGGAGTGGGGAAGACCGTGACTCGTGAGCCAGAGCACAAAGAGAGCTGAGCTCTGCGTGTCTGTGTGCTGGCAGACCGAGGAGATCGCCAGCCAGGGAAAGCGCATCCCTACCAGCACGCCTGTCAAGCCGTCTTACCGACTCCGAAGCTCTTCAATTACCCAAGTAAGAAGCACTGAACCTGCGCGCGGGGTCTGTGGCGGTGCTCCGCAGCACTTTCGCGCCAACAAGCAAGCACAGGAATAGTGTTATGTCGCCTCGTGGGGTGTCTATCCTCGCCTCACACCACACCCTTGAGGACTCGCGAGTGGCTGCGTTTTTTCCTCGCTGTCATTTTGGCATGACGCTGCTTCATGAGAGGAGTGAGTGTGTTCTCGACCTGCACACGCTATGCCGCAACGCTGGCTTTCGACGCCAAGCCCACGGGCACAGGCCAAAGACTTCGCGTCAGGAGAGGCGCAAAGGAACTCAAAATTGGACCTGGCACGCATGCTCGATATCCACCATACGGAGCATGCTCGTCAGGGAGGCGGGTATGCAAGCTGCATTTTTTTGCATTCCACCGTAAAGCAAAGGTAGCGCTGGAGAGAAGGGAAGAGGCCGGATGGACGAGGCCCCTGCTGCCCCAGAGGTATGTCTCCGCCTCAGGAGCTATTTCTTCGTGCGAGGCTATGCCACCTGGTGTGCCTTCCTGCCTTTTTCGGGGGGAGCCGATTACGAATCAGCGTCTTCTTTTGGGGGAGGAGGAGTAGTAGCTGGCGATGGTGGAGGCAGCAGCTGCGCCAGCAGCTCGTCCCTCTGCCCCTTCTTCTTCTTCCAAGCGCGGTTGGAGAATCTTCGATCTAGCGCGGAGCCTCCTCTAGGGCTGTGTCTGCTGCGCAATGCGCGATATTCTGTGAAAACAGCACCAGTGCTTGGCTTAGCGCACAGCTGTGCATGCCTCTCCACAGCTGCTGCTGCCCCAGGTACCGGGCCGCATTCGACGCGATGTTTTACCGTGTGCGGCAGAATGCGCATGTGGGAATCTCCAGGAGCAGCGCATGCATTGCAGCGAAACTCTGCCGGCAGAGAAGCCGTATTGGGGGTTGCGAGGGCTGCCTTTGGCGTTGGCGCGGTGTTATTCCTCCTCTGTGGAGGGAGGACAGTGGTGTTTTGCATGTGTGAAAACGCGTGGCATTACTCCGCCGGTGCATGTGCATGCTTGGTGTCTTGCTGTATAAGGGCTTGGATCTCGTGCGGCGTCCGCCAGCCGGCATGCGTGCAGCCTCTCGGTAGTTGGCAGATATGTGTGGAGTGCGTGTGTGCAAGGGAGGGAGAGGGGGGGAAAGAATCACGACTAAGGGTTGATGTCGACTTAGAAAATTAGCGTTTTTGTGCTGCGACTTGTATATATGTATGTGTCTGTGTATGTGTATGTGTATATGTACGTGTCTGTTTGTGTATGCGTATGTGTATGCATGTGTCTGTGTGTGTCTGTGTGCAGGCCGCTGATGGAATGGAGCCGTCTAAAAAGCCCCGTGTGTCGGCGCGCATTTCGAAGGCACTGGAAAGCATGCGGCAGACTTTCAGAGAGCGCAACAACACACGTTTAGGGGCGAGTTTGGGGAGCTCTGCAAGAAGCTCGGAGTCGGGGGGAAAGGCACGCGCCATGGCTCAGCAGAGAGCTCTACTGGGCAACGGGATACTGGAGGCGTTGGAGGGAGAGGAGGACGAGGGGGAGGACGAGGAGGGCGATGAAGAGGAACTGGACGAGGATATGGAAGATGACGAAGAAGATGATGAAGATGAGGATGGGAGAGAGGCGGATGACGAGTATGACCCCATTGCACCCAGAGGGCCTCTAGAAAACAACAATTACGGCGAAGTCTGGCTGCCTGTCCAGTCCCGCCCGCGTCGCAACCGCAAGAACCACGCAACCCGTCGGCTCGTGCAGGAAAGCCTCGTGAAGCCTTCCAGTCTGATATATCCGCTGTTCGTACACGACGAGGTGAGGCACAATGGCGGCCCGTGTGTTGTGTCGCTCGCGCGCGATTTACTGTGTGGGCAGTGGTGGTGTTGTCGTGGTTGGTTGGAGAGGCAGCGTTGCTAGAGTGTAAATTCTTGCGCGAGGGAGCATGGCTTGAGAAGAAGGCGTCCCGTCCATTTTCAGCTCGTCAGCTCTGTATGGTCTGGCGAATAAAAGACAGCCAGGATGCAGTGGGCAGTCGGGAGTATGCTAGTCTTGTCCGTGTGTGGCTTGGTTCGTCTTTTTGCAAACAGGAGAGGAGTGTGCCGATTCCATCTCTCCCTGGCCAGCGCCGGCTGAGCCCTGCCGATCTCCTCAAGGAGGTAGATGAAGCTCGCCGTTACGGTGTCAACGCTTTCATGCTCTTTCCAAAGGTGGACGACGACCTCAAGAGCCCGCTGGGTGCGTTGTGGAGCTTCTTTTGGAGGGACTGGAATTCGTTTTTTCTCGTGGAAGCACGCGTTCGCTGCCTCTACCTGGCTGGGAGCCTTCTGTACGGGCGTTGGCGCTGCTGCTTTTTGTACTGAGCACCCCGTGGTGTGTTTGTGCGTTTTGTGCGCTTCCTTACAGCGGAAGAGAGCTACAACCCGGACGGGTTGATGCCCCGTGTCATTATGGCAGTGAAGGATGCTTTCCCGGATGCCTTAGTTTTGGCCGATGTGGCGCTGGATCCTTACAGCACCTCGGGGCAAGACGGAGTGGTGGATGAGGAGACGGGGGCTGTTCTAAACGACATGACTGTCTATCAGATCTGCAAGCAGGTGAGTCCGACTGGTCGCGCGAGCTTAGCCGAATGGAGATGTTGGCCTTTCCCGCTGAATTTACGCTTCCCCGCCCGGGATGTGTGTGGGTGAAGCAGTAGCGTCCCTGCGCAATCAGTTCCCCTTGCGCTTGCTGTGTAAACTTCTGCTCGCTTCTGCTGTCGCCATCCTGCTGTTGTTTCTCGAAACATGCGGTTGCTGTGTGTTGACGCGTTGCTTGCGGCTCAGTCGGTCAACCTAGCGCGGGCTGGGGCGGATATGGTTTGTCCCAGCGAGATGATGGATGGACGTGTTACAGCCATCCGTGAGGCGCTCGACATGGAGGGATGTGTGGATACTTCGATCTTATCCTACGCTTGCAAATACGCCTCCTCCCTGTACGGGCCATTTAGAGACGCCTTGGGTTCACATGTGAAAGGCGGTGGCGACAAGAAGACTTACCAGATGGACTTCTCGAATGCCCGAGAAGCGGAGCGCGAGGCAGACTTGGGTGCGTGATTATGTATTATATATATATATGTGTGTATGTGGGTGTAGATGTGGTGTTTGATGTGTAGGTGTGTGTATTTTCATTCCATTTACCGCACACAGTGCCCGCCTTGGTTCGGTGTTTTATTCGGGGTAGGCCCCTTGTGTGCAGTTTCAACACGATGTGTCGCGTCCATGCCAAGAGGGTGCCAAAGTGAGCCTCCGCTAGAGTTGTGCTGCGCATGCGCTCTCTGCGATGGCCTGCGTTGCAGATGTTCAAGAGGGGGCTGACATGTTAATGGTGAAGCCAGGCACGCCTTACCTGGACGTCCTGCACCGTGTGCGGCAGAAGACGAATGTGCCGCTCGCTGCTTATCACGTGTCTGGAGAATACGCGATGATCAAAGCAGCGGCGGAGAAGGGATGGATCGACGAGAAGTCTGTTGTGTTTGAGACTTTAAAGGGATTCCGCAGGGCTGGAGCCGACTCTATCGCGACGTACTACGCCAAAGATGTTGCCAAGTGGATGGCCGATGATTGTAGTGGGAAACGCCAGTTTACGGAGCCGTGCTTTTAACTTTTTTACACGCTCGTCTTCTACAACCGGCGGACAAGTCTCGGTGCACTCAGGGAACGCAAAATAATGCGTTTATTAGCACGGCAAATGAGCTGCTGCTGGTAGCATATTTGGGGGGAGTATAAAGCTGCCTTCCTGAAGCCAGCGGCTGTCCTCTTGTCTGGTAGACAGGGGATAGGTGGACATTATTAGGGAAGGTGGAGGGTGCAGTGCAGTGCACTGTGAACCTTAAGGATGGTTTTTTCGTCCTCTTTCGTGGTGACAATAGGAAGGCGGCAGCAGCAGCGGCTGGTGCCTTGGCACTCGTGTGTGTCTCGCGCATACTACACTGGAGCGCGCGCGGCAGCGGATTTGAGGCCTAAGGACTGCGCACTGGCTTCGCCTACTCTGCCGGCGAAGCCGCGCTGACTTGAACAACTTGCGTGTTTTGAAATATGTTCCTCCATGTGTTATGTTCGTGTGGATGTGACCTGGTTGTCCGCACTCTGTTGTGGTGTATTTTTACGACGCGTGTCTGTTGGCTTTGCTCTCCTTGTGTGCTCAACGCTGAACTGGCATTTGTTTGGATACGGTCGAAACAGAGCCACCGCACAAGCGCCACGATGCGCATCGTGTAGCCCAAGGGCACCCTGCGAGTCTGACACGCCGTAGTTGCCGTGACGATTGGGGGCAGCAGCACTCGCGCACGGTGGGAAACTGTAAGTCTGTTTTGCGCGCAGGGTGTTCGAATGCTGCCCGCCACTGCACCACGTTCCCGGCCACCTTCGCAGCTGCCTCCACCAGGAGGAGGCGCTCCTTTTAGTCGACACGTCTGTGCCTTGCGGCTCTCTGGAGGGCAGCGTGTGCACTCGAAGATGCTTGCGTCGAGCGGTGCAAGCGCGGCTGCCGAAGGGGCAGGAGGAGCGGCACCTCTTCAAGATGGCCCAGGGGGTGAACGGCGGAGTCTCCACGTGTCTTGTGCGCCGCTCCGGCTGCATCCCTACTTGCAGCGAAAGGTCTTGGCTTCCGGGTTGGAGGTGTTTATGCTGCCTCACGGCCACCCTGAAGGCAGTTTGGAAGTCCATCTGGAAATTCATGCAGGCAGCACGGCAGAGGAGGACAGCGAGCGCGGCATGGCACACCTGTGCGAGCACCTCATTTTTATGGGCAATCGGAAGAGGGGAGATGTCGTGGCTCTGCAAGGAGAGGCCAACGCCTTCACAGACTTCCACCACACTGTCTACTTTGTGAGCTGGAGAGGGGGCGAGAACGCTCAGGGGGCGGACGCGAGGGGCAATGAACGGGAGACGATGCTCACCGACAGTCAAGCGGGAAGCCGCCGCAAGCTGAAGGTTGCGCTGGAATTATTGCGAGAAGTCTTTACGGTACATTTAGGCTAGGCCTCCTGATTCCGCAAAGGGCTTTCTAGACCGTGCTGTTTTACAGTGGGGACTGCGGCAGTGGGTACCGAGGCTGCGAGGCTGCTCTAAACCAGAAGTCTATGCAGTCCTTGCTTTTTTGGTTTTTTTCCAGGCGCCCACCCAGTTCACCCCAGAGCGACTCCTCAAAGAGAAGGCAGCAGTCCTCTCCGAGTCTTCCTTAGTCAATACTATTTTTTACAGGAAGGAACAGGCTCAACTGTCGAAGCTTCATAGCGATACGCTGCTGCCTTCCCGTTTCCCAATCGGAGACATGCGTCTGCTGCGTGGGTGGAACCTTGATGAAGTGCACAAATTCTTCGCGCGCTATTACCGCCCAGATAACGCGACGCTTTTTATTGTAGGGGACGTGGCACCTCTGGGGGCCCTGCGTTCTGTAGACGAGGTCCTTGGAGTTGTTCGGGGAGACAAAGCCGCTGAAAAAAAATGGCGCGCCACCAGAGACAAGTGGAGGCAGACCACAGTAAAGAACAGGTGAGCGAGCCTCCCGAAGCGCATGCGTGGGAGCTCGTGCTTAGCCGAGCGTCCTGCAACACGACGTCTGCGTTCCTAGAACGTCTCGTCTTAGTTGTAGGTGTTCTGCATGGCGGCGCGCTTCTCGGTACGGCCCATTGCCGATGCAGCGGAGGGCGCAAAAAGCCTGCACGTGAGGAACTGGGAGTTTCCGTGTTGAGCCTTCGTTACCAGCATTTGGAGGGGATGACACTTTTACGCGTTGGACCGTCCTACTGTGTGTGCGGTGGTGTCTTCGCAGCTCGATTTTTTTTCCTCCCTTGGCACATGCGTGGGTCCGAGATTTTAAAGGCAACGCTGCCAAAGCTGCAGGTGAAGCAGCAGCCGGCGCCACAGGCAAAGTGCAGAAAGATGTGAAGAGCGAGACTTCTGGGGAATCAGCAGTGCCTCTTAAGAACGTGTTGCGGTCTCGGCTGCAGATCTGGCAGCACTCTCTCCTTCAAAATTTTTCGCTGCTCTTTCTCCGCAAGCTGCCAATTGTCCCCCTTCGCACCGCGGGCGATTTCTTCCGTCTCCTCGCGCGCAAACTCGCCCTGCAAGCCCTCGCAATGAGGCTGAATGAGCGGTGCAGGCGGGAGGATGACGCTTGGATGCGCGTAGAAGTGGCAGACACCGAGTCCATTAAGGAAGGTTGTCGCATCGTTTCTGTCGAGGCAGAGGCAGAACAAGGCAGCTGGCGCGACGCTGTGAGGGTGGCTGTTGAGGAGGTACGCAGTTTTTTGGCAAATGCCTAGGGCCCACAAGGCCTCTGTGAGTTTCTAGCATCGGCCACAGCTTGGGGTATCTGCTGTGGCTGGAGACGACTTCGCTGCGCGTATAAATGTTCTGTGCGTATGCTTTTATGGCTGTATCACGGTAAATACCAATGCATATGAGTGCAATGCCGCCTAAGGATCTGCTGCTGCGGGCTGGTGGCGTGTGCGTTGCGAAAGGCACCACGACGGGCATGCTGCTCTAGTGTACCGCATCGGGGAGTAGTAGGGCTTGGCTGTTGTGACTTGTGTTGTCGCATTGATCAGGTGCGCCAGATGGCGAAGCACGGCCTGACAATGTCGGAGTTGAGGAGCCTCCTCGATTCTTACCGGGCCAACTTGGATCGCATGCACATGCAGCTGCTGTCGTCTGCCGACATGCTGCGGCTGCTAATGGAAAACTCCGCTTGCGGGCATCGCATAATCCACCTGGAAGACGAGCGCGGCCTTGCGTTGAAGCTAGCGATGGGCAAGTTAGAGGAATCTTCATCAGCGAAAAGTGCGAGTGCACTGGCAGCTTCCGACGATGCTGCAGCGAATCCAGAGGATATGAAACGGCTCTTGGACCTGGTGAATGCGGAGGCGCGGTGCATGCTGAGCTGGATTGACGCGCGAAACTGCAGGAGCAATGTGAAAAACGGCCCGGATGCAATCTGCACATTCTTGGTACAGCCTGGCGGAACTCGGTGCAGCAGCCCTCCCATGACGAAGCGGCTCCCCGGCACGCAGCTGATTGGCCACGTCGAGGTGGAGCCGAGAGACGCAACGACGGGCTTTCTGGAGGCTGCTACCCTGCCTAAGCATGCTGAAGAAGAGACATCCCAGGAGGTTAACAGCACTACGTTCGCGATATCTGAGGAATCGATTCTCGATGAACTTTGCAGTTCCATGACGCGCGCCGTTCGGGCGCAACGAAAGGGAGTCGAGGTCAGCCTTGTGGCCCACGGCATCGCGAGGCACAGAGAGCTGCAAGCAAACAGACCGAGTCCTCTCTTTGGTCTTTTCTCACATTTGTAAATCCATGCCTGGCGAGTCGCATAAGCTCAGGCTTCTGCGCTACGTCCTTTGTGCAGACTCCCAAGCTTTTGTTGACGGATGCACAGTTGGCATCGCTGCAACAGCGCGCGGCGCGGAGTCCCCCAATTTCCAGGGAGCTGCAGGAGGCTGGGCCTAATGCACGTACCGTGCAGCTTGGCAATGGCGTCAAGGTGACAGTCAAGCCGCTACCCGAAGAACGCGGTTCCGTCTTGATTCGTGTCTTGATGCCGGGTATGTTCCATCTTGCTGCGCGATGAAAACGTGTGAACGCAACCTCCCATATCTGAGGCCATGCATGTGCGTTTGCTGAAGCTCTTCCTGGACGGCGTTCCATGGACTACGCGATATTTGCTGCTTTGTGTCTCTAGGAGGTCGCCTGGGTGCAGTGATGAAGAATTCCAGAGGCGATGCATCAAGTGGCTCGCTTGAATCACTGAAGCGACAGAGCGCTGCCATGGTCCTCGGGGCACGTACAATGATGGAAGGAGGGGCTCTGGGGCCGTTTTCGCGTGAGCAGATTGAGGGTTTTTGCCATGAAAGGCTTATTGGTGAGCCGTATTCGAACGTCAGGGCCCACGTAGCCTCTCCAGAGCAGATGGATGCGCCTGAAGCCGCTGTAGGATACTGTGATCGCCACCTAGCCCGCGCCCTCTCATATTAGGCACACTTGGTTAGCTAGCTTATTGCCGCTTCCATAGCTGCTGAATCATCCAACTGCATATTTACTGAGTCACCATTCAAGATGGCTTGAACACAGGTGGCACTGCATTTGTGCGCTACCTGTGTATGCGTGCTGGCTCGTCGCACAATAAACCAACCCACGAAATCCGATGTTTGGAAGTATTCTTGTTTTGGGGGGCTTGGACTTGGGGCGTTGTATTTAGGAGGTGCACTAGCTGCTACTTCTTTGCGTGTGGGTTTGCGGTACAAGATGCTGCTAGCTTTTTTGGTGAACTTTGTATGCAGGCGTCAACATAGAGTGCCTCGACGAGTTCCTGGCAATCGACATCAGCGCCCCCGCTTTTGCCGCCCGCGATGCAGACTCGAACCGAGCCGGAAGCCTCGATAGGGCTTCTACTTTGGAAAGTGCCATGCAGCTGCTGCACCTCATATTCACTAACTTTCGTTTCGAAGAGTCAGCCTTTCGCCGTGCGCAACAGCAGACCCTCATGGACTACCATGCGTACACCCGAGACTTGGTTGTGAGTCATAACATTTCAGTCATTGCTTCAGTCACTAACTGGACTCCAGAGACACACAGCAGTATGCCGCATGCAGCTGCATGGGAGGCGGGCCAGATAGTGAAAAGCTGCGACGTCCCAGCTGGAGCAGTGGCATGTGCGGGTGTCCGTCTTTTGTTGCCGCGCTCAGGGGTATTCTCTCGGAGAGCTAATTGTGCATATGACTGGTCGAGATCCACGCTTTGAGGCGCTGAAGCCGGCCGTTACGAGGGCTTTGGATCTGCCCTTCGTGGAGCAGCAGATCCGGTCTCACATCGCGGAGGCCCTTTTGCGAGGAGATATTGAGGTGACAGTAGTGGGTGATATTGACGCCGCCCACATTACGCAACTGGCAGCAAAGTACTTGGGGACTATTGAGCCAAGCAAGACCGACAAAGAGATGCGTCGTTTGCCTCGGCACTTGCCCGCTCCTCTTAGGTATCCCAGAGAAAAGGCGCTACGGTCGCCGTACTTCCACCTGCAGGAGACGTCGGCTCCCAGTGCTGTGCAGGAATGGGGCTCTCCGCATGAAATCACCGAGCCACTTTCTTCTGGCACTTGGACAAAAGCCTGGGGACGCCGGCTGCATGCGTACGTCAGGGACAGCGAGACGCGCGCTGTTGTGCACATTGGCGGTTTCGCGTGTAATCGTTGGGGAAGAAACCCTGATGGGTCCTGGATCTGGGAGCACATGGACGCTTTACAGCGGCAGGACGACTCTCTGGAGGCTGCCTACAGTGGGGCTTCAGGAGGCAGCAGGCAGCAAACTTCTCCTCCAGGTGGCAGTGCACATAGGAGACACCCGGCCTTTCCTCGCGTATGCTTGTGGATACTGCAAGAACTGGTCACTAAGCGCCTCTTTTCTATCCTCAGAGAAGAGCAGCGTTTAACCTACGAAGCTGCTTTTGAGGTCATGTCGTTTGACATCCTTTCGGGGGGGATTTTCGTCATCACGGTACATACGCAGCCCGAGGAGGTGGAGCGCGTTCTAGCTGCAACCCATGTGGCGCTGCAGGAGCTCATTAGCATTCGGCCACTCCTGCAGTCGCAGCTAGAAGGAGCAAAACAACAGGTCATTGGCCGCCATCTGCACGACCGCAAGTATGCGCGGTACTGGTTGGACCTCCTTGGAGGCCTTCAAATGCCCGATGTGAGTCCCCAGCAGTACAAATCACCCATGCAACTGATAGACCCCTATTTTCTGCACTAGTACTGTGAGTAGTCTACTTGGATACGTTGGGTCCACCCTTCCCTCTATTTTGTACATTCCCTCTTGCACGCTCTTCGCATCTCCAAAATGCGGACTTTTGTTGCTTGCTGCAGATCCCTCAAAAGACTGCCGCGTATTTCAAAGATTTCGAGCGAGTCGTTGAGAGCGTCACTCTTCAAGACATCCAGCTGCTGCTGCGGTCCCTAGGCACGCGTCGTGATAGCATGTGGGAGGCCGTCGGGGTGTCTGGCCCCGTCCCTCCTGCGACTCTCTCTCGCCCACCCCAAAAGGTCTCGGAAGTTCCTATACCTAGCAGTGGGCGCTCCAGCACGAGGCTAAGCGCAGCTTTCAGTGCCCTTTGAATTGCCTAGCTCTACTCTCTCCCCTTCCCCCTTAGTTACCATAAAATAATTCCGCATGAACCTTGGCAGCCATCCATAGTAGAAGTGTAATGCAAGTTGGTGCAGCTAAAGCAGCTCTGTGTTTCAAAGAACACAGCCTCTATCTGATGCCACTCTTCTGTGCTGCGGTAATACTGCTCATGTCTACATTTGCCGCGGCTTTTTACAGCTTAGAGCTGCTAAGAAGCGCGTATGTGCGCGCGCCGGTGTTACGTAGTTATTCGCACTAATGTGCCATCGATTTTTTATGGCAGAAATTTCTGCTGACAAACGGGTGTGCCCAGGCATCAATTGCCCTGAGGGCGCATTCACTCAGCTAGGCACGGGCACACGAGCTGGGTCCATTTTCACCCGAATGACTAGTCTATGTGCCAGGCATTTACGTTTTGCTCGTCCACGGGTGGCTTCTAGATGCAGGTGGTAGTCTTTCAGCACCTAATGGCGAGGGAACAATCTAATCTACTCTATTTACGCATCTCGCACGGGGAGAGCTCTGCACTCGGCTGCGTGGATTTCCACCTCTCCCGGCGTGAGGACTGCGACATCCGGTTCTGCCGCACGAACAGCTGCCAGTGGCAGTCAGCAGGGCTTGACTACTTTACAGTATATTTATTATTTGAACTTATATTTTGTCCTGTTGAGCCACCGCACCGCACAGTCGTAGGATTCCTCCACAAACGGTTTGTGCTGGCATGATAACTTGGGTTCTTCATGAACCAAAAGGAGAGCCACTGGGGAGAACGGCACGTTTCGCATGATCCGAGGCCGTTTCCTTGACTGATTCACGAACCTCAATTGTCGAAGGAAGGAAGTGGCATGCTCTCGGGAACTGAGGGAGAGGATAGTGGCTTCGCACGGTGCCTGGGAGATGTCACTGAGGGCCCTGTCGTTTGAGGTGCTTCAGCAGTCCACGAAGGCGGGGTAGGGGGTGCCTGCGTCTGCCCTTGAAGGTTTTTAGGGCTGCCCCCACGTAGACCTTTTCCTGGAATCTCTCCACTGCTGGCTTCTGGTGCTGCAGCTACTTCAGCGCCCTGTTCCGCTGGGGCTGTGTGCAGAGTAGGACAATATGTCTATGCATGCGCAAATACTTGTCATGGGCTGGAATGTCGCAGGTTACCTGGAGAAACAGCTGCGAAGCTCTGAAACTTCTTAGGAATGACGACAGTAGCTCGCCATACAGCACCGGTGTAATCCCCTGTGCTTCAAAACTCATGCTATGTTTGCATGATACTCTGCTTTAATGCTCTTACCTGGATTACGTTCGACTTCAATCGGAGGGATTAGTTTGGTACCCGATGGTATGGGCTGCGCGTTCCGCTCATGTTCGGCAAGTTGCATTCATGCGCTGCGCCCCTCAGTTATCCGTACCTCAGCAAGCCGGAAATGCCAATCAAAGGGAGTTTCATTGACAGTAATCTGCAGGAACTTGTATTGGGGATATAATGTGGGCACACCACCCGGGTGTCTCACCTTCAGAACCTTCTGCGCAATGACTCTGCGGGAAAATTCATCTTTCCGATGATACAACAAGAGCGTCATGGTATGTTCTTACCGCGCTGAAAAATCGTCGGCCGTTACAGTGTTCGGAACATGTGCAAACACCGCAGTATACGAAATAGCTGAAAACTTGAACGGTGTAGCGCAAGTGCGATGACACAAGAAACAGCATCTTGCCTTTCTCTGATGCAACTATGCGTGCTTCCGCTTCATGAACTTCATCGTCGTCGTGTTCCAAAGGGGGAGGATACGCACTAATTTTCATGGCAAAGAGCACAGCAAGACTCAGAAAAATTGCTGCTGCCTGCGAGCCGTGAACTCCATAATGCAGCCATGGCGGCCTCATCTACGACACGAAATTGAAGCACAAAACGTGGGGAGTTAGTGCTTTCAATTATCCGTGCCACCTGTATTTGGATTTTCTGCACCTTGCAAATTGCAGTTCTTGTCAAATGCGAAATCGGAGTAGTAATCGCAGCAACTCTTGCTAGAAGTGCCGGGTTCAACGCCCGTTCCCATGCTCTCTTCTTTACAGCGCAGCGGAAATACGCATTTGCTCTTCTTGCCAGTGCAACTTCGTAGCCAAATTCACATTACCCCTCTGAATTTTTGCCTGGAGCAGCTTAATCGCTACCTTGACGAATCCCGAAAAATTGGCTGAATAACTAACGACTGTATGTACAGCCTAAATGCAAATGTGAAAACTCATGATGTGTTCTTGCGATCTCGAACCAAATTGGCTTTAGCGCCCTCAGAAATACAGCAGACAGCTTAATAAACTGTGAATCAGTTCACTTTCTTCGACGTAGGCCACGTTTCCAATATGCAATGTTACTTGCCAGACAGTTTACCACTGTTCTCCCGGTGCAACAATCTTAAGCCTTAAGGGTTCGAACCGCGGCGTAACCTATGTAAACGATTGATACACCGTCCATCTTCAGGTGGGCGAACAGCCACCCTACGCCATGAACGCCGTAGGGCTCTAGTAGAGGCATCTTGACTGGGACGCTCCCATTACGGCAAAAAGACGTCGCTGGTTCCGCATGTTCATCGAAGCATATTAAGCTGTGAATCGTCACAGGCTTCAAGCTGTCGATTTCCATTTAACTGCAACCTTTTGCGAGATGCGAGAGGGCCGCGGGGCAGCGATCACGAGCATCCGGCAAATTCGGCATTCGGAAGACCAGCCGATTTGGGCCACCTAACTACAGCACAGGCAGTTGCGCTCACGAAACTAAAGACTACCCCCAACTTCGCTTACTTGCTGCGTCGTGGCTGGCCTTTCCGGCAGTACAGGAATGAACGTTGCTGCCTCGGCAGTACAGGAATGAACGTTGCTGCCTTTCACAAATCTCGAAGTGCATTCAGTACAACGCGATGGGCAGCTCCCCTTCAAAGTACTGACTCGTAGGTGGCAGCTTGCCGGCAATCTGCTTTGCCAAGGTGCCGCTTTGGTAAAGCTGCAAAAGGGTGTCATGAGACCCGAGACAGACGCCATCCAGAAACAGCAGTGGACACCGGCTCTTCTTCCTGCAGAAAAAAATACATCACCATCAGCACAAGTCCCCAAAACCTTGAATCCCAGAACCCCGCCTGTACCCTGCTAGCCATTCGTACTGAAATGCATGTATACTCGACGTATCGAGCGCACCAGCGCACGCTGCGCTTTGCTGGTTCCGAGAAGCCGGCTTCCTTTTGAGTGCTCGAGACCACATGTCCTACAGGTCCTACCCCAGAAGGATGAGCGTCTAACGGTCTAACGCGTGTCTGTGTGTGTTAGTCTGGGGGGGCTGTGATCTTAAAGAGCATATTTCCGTACCCATGTGTTAGAGCGAAACCCAGGATGGCGGCATGCGTGGTGACATCCACCGCCACTAGAGGAACGCTCTGCAGCTGCGTGAGCATCTTGACCACATTCATGGACAGCATAGACTTGGGGTTATCTACGGTGCCTTCAAGGAAAAGAACGAGCTTATTTTTCTGAAGAATCGGCATCAGGTGTTTATCCACACTTTCTCGTTCGGCGCCGTAAGCCGCAATGCTTCGCTCGATCAGGCGCTTGTAGACCGTGTCTTCGGAGCCTCCACAAGCGTTCAGCATGGCCTCGAAGGAGGTGAACGCAGGGGGGATGCAGGCGGAAGATTGCTTTTGGGGGGAAAGAGGGATGCTCCCGCCTTGAGCTGCAGGGGGAGCCACGGGGGGGGAGCCCCCGGGGGCCTGTGGGGTGGCAGCTGCTGCTGCAGTTGTCAGGCGCGCGACTGCCTCTCTGCTGCAGCTCCTCTGCAGGAGAGAGGGCCGGGCGAGCCGTAAGAGGTACGCCGGCATCATGCTGTGGGGGTATAGCACAAAACGCGCAGAGACGGAAAAAGAAACCGGAAGCGGCCCTCTCCCGGGTGTCGTGAAGCGTCGGGGCTCACAAGAATCGATTTGAATCGCCAAGTTCCTTTGTCGAGGAAGAGACACAGTGTCGCACAGGGCGTGTTGTGGCTGAGGAGAGGGCCCTCTCCGCGCATGCAGTGAACGCAGCCGGGGAGGGGCCCCTCGGCGTGGCCACTCAAGCAGTGAGCGCCTGCTCCTCTGGGATCCTCCGTGTTGCACTATTTTTTACTAGTGAAATTCTTGATAACGCCGATTGGGGCACCTCTGTGGGAGTTCGACGTAGCCGTTCTCCCCAGATGGGTGTGCGCCGGCCGATCGTTCCGGGAGGATGCTGGGGATCGCGCCTTTATGCGCTCACCGGGCGACCTCCGTGCGTAGTGTTATTACCGCGGCACGACCTGAATTTCAATACAGAGCGCGCTGTGGCGGCTCCGAGGGGCGGCTCGCTCACTCGTCCCTCCCCGCTGCATCGACACGCGAGCACAAGGGATGCCGCCTCTCGGCATGCGCGGCCTCTAAGCCGTCCGTTTTCTCTACCAGTGCTCCCCCGCGGCGGCGCGGAGCGAACGCGACACGAAGGCGTTTGTCTCTGTACGCAGAGCCGGGGCCCTTGGCTGCGGAGACGCTTTTGCCGGGGCATGCATTGTCTTGCGACTCGCTGTGGAGGCGCCTGCAGATTCTGCGCACTCGTAGCTTCGCAACGAAGAGGCAGCGACTAGACGAGTACGACTGTTACGAGAAAACCCTCGATCCACGCCGCGTTCCCGCTAGCTTTGGCCGCATCCCCATTCACCTCCAGTCTGCAGGGGAACTGCGGGATAGTGTCAAGACCGCAGGCTGCCTGCGCCTCTCGAACCCGAATTTCTGGCTGCGGTGCAGCTCGGCTGTGCGAGACGTGGCAGAAGGCTACAGGGCAAGGGAAATCGTCGCAATCCTCAACGCATACGCCAAAGCGGGTTACCGCGATGTCTCCCTGTTCCACCACTTGGCGAGACTCCTTGCGCTGCAGGCTACAGACTGCCGCGCGTCGGATCTTGCCGTGGCGCTTCAGGCGTTTGCGCGACTCAACATCCCCAACAAGTCTTTTTTTGACCTCCTGGCGCTCCAGTGCATCAGCAAGGCCGACGAACTAGGCCCGCGTGGCATCGCCACCGTTGCCGCTGCCTACGGAGGGATGCAACATCCCCAGCATCAGCTTTTCAGCACCCTTGCACAGCACGTCCAGGCTCGGGCGGAGGCTTTCTGCAGCATAGACCTCAGTCAGCTGCTGTGGGGATGTGCGAGGGTCGCCTTCCATAACGCCCCTATGCTGGACTGCTGCGCAGATCATCTCGTCCAGCGACTGCCCACCTGCACCGTCCTAGAGGCTTTGACTGCTGCCGAAGCCTTCGCGACTCTCCGCTTCTACAGAGCTGACTTCGTGGCTGCGTCGAGTGCCTTCTTCAGAGGCAAGCTGCCCAGCATACCGGTGCGCAGCCTCCCACGCCTCTTGAGGACCTTCACCACGTTCGACAAGCTCGCGCGGCCTGAAGATTCGCGTCTAGACGGGCAGATCGTGAAGGAGGATGCGGCTCCCCCCCTGTCAGCTAATGCTGCACTCTACAGGGCGGCTTTGCCTGCACTGGCGCGGCATGCCTTGTGTTTCTCTGTCAGCGAATTGTCTGCGGTGGACTGGGCCCTGCGGTCAGTAGGACTTCGCCACGATCTGCTGACGCGGGTGCTGCAACAGCTCTTGCAGCAACAGACTGCCGAACTGTCTGCTCCGCAGTGCGCAGAGATGCTGCAGCAGGCAGCAGCGCAAGAACTAGACGGTACTGACCAGGCAGCGGCTGCCGCTGTTGCAGCCCTCCTAGAGCCCCCAAACACACTGCTATCCGAACTGCCTCCCGCGGCAGTTATAAGGACTCTGGATGCTCTTGAGAGGCTTCAGTGCCACGAGGAACTAGCCCTTTGTGCGCGTCTGTTGTTTGGAGAGCACGCGATTGATGATACCGCCGCTCCCAGCAGCAGTGAAAGCGTGTTGAAGGAGCCGGAGCTCCTCGTGGCACAGCGCATCCTTCTTTCAGTATTTCCTTCGGAAGGCAAGCGACGCAAGGGGAGCTGTCCTGTGTGGCGGTGGTTGTGGGGCCAGGCTGAGCAGTAGAAGCGCTGCCAGTAGACGTTTCCAGAGTATTGCGCTAAGGGAGGGCGACGGTAATATCTGTGTATGGATGTATGTTCGCGTGTATGTTTGTGTGTATGTATGTAGGCATATCTGTGTGTATATATGTAGGCATTTATGCATGTTTGTGTGTATGTATGTAGGCATATGTTTGTGTGTATATATGTAGGCATTTATGCATGTTTGTGTGTATATATGTAGGCATTTATGTATGTTTGTGTGTATATATGTAGGCATATATGTGTGTTTGTGTGTATGTATGTAGGCATATATGTATGTTTGTGTGTATATATGTAGGCATATATGTATGTGCGTATGGATGTATGTCTGTATACATGCACGTGTGTGTATGCGCCTGCGTGGGAGACATCGCAGAATTATTCGTTGCATCTTACCGGGACGGCTGCCTCAAGAAGACCGTGCAAGTGGGGCATGGCTCTTCCGCGTGCGAAGATCTCGGAACCCCCCGGGAGGCGCCAGTCGGCGGTGGCACTGGCTGCGATATACAGTGCACAATGGACAGCGCAGATGCGTTGCTGATAGAGGGGTTTGAGGCAAGGGCAAAGGCACTCTATGCTCGCCTCTCTGCTGCTGCTGCCACAGCCTCTGGCGATGCGTTGGTGCGGACGCTCTGTCGATACCCCGCAGATGCAGGCGCGGGTCTGTGGCTCTCCTTGCTGATGAAGGGGCGCATGGCTGGTGAGATTACCCCCTTCTGGGAATACTTTTGGGGGCCTCCCTGCCCTTTGGGGGGCCCCCCTTTCCCCCAGTACGGGCTCTCATGACTGCTGTTACGTAGGCGCTTGCGTGGGGGAGCGTGGGAAAAAAGGCCAGCGATCTCAATTTCTAGACGCTCCACAATTCTTCTTCCTTGCATGCATGCATGCTTCATGTGTTTTGCTGCATTGCTGCGCTGGCCGAAGCAGCGGACCCCGAGTGCCTCCCGGCTCTCCTGATGACACTGGCGCGCCTGCAGGCGGAGAAGGCAGAGGAGGAGGAGGAAATGGATGGTTTCGTGAGTCTGCGCCGTTAGATCCTTGTGCTGTCTCTCCCGTATAGTGGTCAGGCAGGGGGAGGGGCCATTCGATTGGGGATTTGTCGGCTCGGATTTGTCTTTGCGACGATGCCCACATGGCTATTCTTAGCACACGGGTGCTCTCGCGGAGGCGCTTCGAAGGAGAGCGAAGCGAAGGGCTGCTTTTGTGGAGCGCTCTGCACATACATATATGCATGCATGTACATACATACATATGTGCGTCTACGCCTCGTTTTTGCTCTCTTGATGTCTTGGCGCATGGGGCTCTTCGAAAGGATGCTGGACTGGGGATCTCCAGTAGCTGTTTCACAGGCCTCGCCGCCTCTGCGACGGACGGAGGTGGAAGCTCGTGCGCGTCTGGCGCGCCGGTGTGTTGTTGGCTAGGGCATACTGGGGGGCGAGCTTTGGCTAGCCAGCCTTTGAGAAGCCGAAGCTGCTTCAGTCTGTGTGCTGTGGCTGCGCAGGCCCCTCCAGACGTCGGTAAAGCAGACTCTTTAGAATTCGCAGTGCGGGGAGGAGGCCACTTCCCTCCGCTGCCCTCCGCTGAGCAGCTCTCTCGCCGTTTCTGTCATGTAGCTCGCTACCTAATGGAGTCCACCTCTTTGGGAGCAGCACCCATGGGAGGCGCATCTGGGGCAGCCTCAGCTGCTAGGAGTCTCCCTGTGGCTCCCAACGCTGGGGATCGCCTCTTTCAGCGTCTCTCCATTGTTGCGGCAGCCACTGCAGCAGACGCTCTCCGGCACCATCCTCAAACTGATGTGGCACGTCGCTATGCAGAGGATCTCTGCGGCCTCATCTGCTGGCGCTTGCAGAGGGTCTGTCTGCGTGCCCCTTCCCTTGCTTTCGCTTGTTTCTCGGCTTTCTTAAGGCCTGCTTTTGCGCTCGATAACACACGAGCGCTCTAGCGGCTGCTGTGTCACGCTGCTGCTGTGTCACGCTGCTGCTGTGTCACGCTGCTGCTGTGTCACGCTGCTGGTGCGCTTTGAAAAACAGGGAATTTCGCATGATTTCGTGGGAGGCCAGCGGCGGCGATGGACGCTAATCAAGTCGAAAAAATGCGCTGCTGCTGTTGTTGCTGTTGCTTTTGCTGCTGCTCTTTGTGCACTGCAGGACGGGTGTCTGAGGAAAGAAGAAGAGAAGCGCGAGAGCCTCGAAGGCGCATTCGTCCGAAAGGAGGCAAAGTGCCTGGCCCGTGTGCTTCAAACCCTTGTGGCGGTGGGGGCCGCCATCCCTCTGGATTTGCTGCAGTGCGCATAAAAGATCCTCTCTGTGTTCTTCGCCCTTTCTGAATTTCTGTTTCCTGATGCACGGCTGGTATCAATGTGTCATCACACTTGCACTTTTAAAGCTGTCTGGCACTTCTGCGGGGGCTATGCGTACAGCCTGCAAGCCGCGTGGTCGCCATGCCGTGTGACGCTTGGCGTGCAGGCACCTCGCACCCCGTCTCTGGTGTCTGGGGGGACGTGATGTACTATCCGTTCTGCGTCTTCTCCCGCCAGCACCCATAGATACCGCCCTCAGACATCAACTCGCGAGGGCAGTCGATCTCCGCTTCAGAGATCTTAAGAGCTGGCGGCAGCTCCGAGAACTACGGGTCAGCATGCAGCTCTGCCGGTACAGTCGCAGCGCATCTGCACGTAGAATGGATAGTGTAATTTAGTGCGCAGGCGGCTTTATGGTATTAGTTTTGCGGGCCTTCGCTTTAGGCGGCTTCATTTTGCAACAGCCGTTTCAGAAATGCCCTTGTTTAGCAGTTCGCGCTGCCTGATATCTGAATCGCTATAGCCGTCAAACCGGCGTAAAGGCCGTGCGCGTTCCTCTGGAAGCGCGTTGGTAGTGCAGATGAGACGACCCTGTGGCTTCTCAACCTTCATTTTGGTCATGTTCTGGCCTTTTTTTGGATAATCTGACCTTTTACGCACTTACGTGTGTGTATGTGAGTGTATGTATGTGGATGTGCATGTATCTGTATGGTGTGCATGTATCTGTATGGGCGTGCATGTCTCTGTATGGGTGTGTATGAGTGTGGTGGGCTGGCATTGTTTTCAGGAGCTTTGTGCAACCTTGCAGCTGGAAGTTGATGAAGACATTGCTGAGCGCGTGGCTAGTGTACCTCTGTATCAGGCGGCGGATGAGGAGGTAAGTACCTGGTCCACCTCTCTTCTTGGAAGGAGCGCCTTGTTATTTGGTTTGCCAACTGTGCCGATGGTGCATTGTCTCGCACTGCTTTGTAGCGGAGCGCTGCAGCTGTGCTCCTCACGTGTGTGTAGCTTCTCTATACAGAATCCGTAGGTAGCGCTGGCAGATGTGGCAAGGCGAGCCTCGTGAAAAAGCCTTGCCTGCATGCCTTATCCGCCCGCTGGACGCTGCTGAGTCTGCTGGTGTTTCTACAGGAAGACATTCCCACAGTTGCCGACGCTATGGCTGACACAGAGGAAGCTGAGCAGACAGACACTGCTGGGCAACAAGGGTCCTGCTCAGGGTGAAGTCTTGACAGCAGCGACTGGCCGATTGTGTGTTGTGGCAAAGGCAGGAAGAAGGGATACAGGGGACGCTTAGGGCTATTGCTGGCAGGTTGATGGATGTAGCGTTTGCTAGTTGCGGTGTATGGCCCCTAAACGCAGCGTGAAACCTAGACAGCCCTTCCTGCGTTCGTTAAGGCCGAACCCCGCAAGCCTCTGCACATGTCTACGCGCTCACGAGCGCTCCACGTTGCATGCTGTCGGAAGGAGGCAGCCTGCCTAACGCCGAACTGCAGCAACCGCGGTTTCAGCGCTTCTTCCAGCCATTCAAAACTGGTTGAGGCGTGAAAGCACGGAGTTCGAGGGAGCAACACAGAAGCCTCGTACCCGCTACGTAACTTTGGGGCTCCTGCAGCAACTGTATTCGCTCACTGACGCAATTGGGATTAAAATTAATCGAAAGAGGCAACTCAAATGCGCCGATTATAATCAGAGGAGGGATCTATCTCGCCTCGAACAGCCCAACGCATATACACCTCTTAGCGGTCGCATAACTCCAGATGAACACTCGTAAAATGAGAGGTTCCCTGTAGAATTTCTTTTTAGCCCTTCCCAACAAATGCGCTGCTACCCTCGTCGTTGCGACAATATATGGGGAGGTGGGGTGGCAGGGCTTTAGAGTGGCCACGATTTCCCCATCCACAAGATAGCTTGCGCCTGGCTAGTGCATATTGTCGAACCGAGGAAGGAGGCAAGCTGTGAGGCGAAGGTATAGTTGGGCTCTTCCTACTGCAGTGGCTAAATTTAAGTAAGAACTCATATACATTAGCCTGCGCAGGATCTCAGCTCCCAATATATATATTTTGCAACTGCGTTCGCTCAATGCGCTGAAGACTTAGCCTTGTGCACGTGTGCAGGCAGTAAATGCTGCGGGCAACTAAGTGTAAACGCTCGGAGTGCTTAGAGGGTGGTGCAGTTACCAGCAGCTGAGCTGCACCTCTCCACTCATGGCAGGCCCCTGAGGGGCAAGGGAAGAAAACGGTGACGTTCCTTTGAAAGCAGGACGCTTCATGATACTCCATTAGGTTTGCATTGACTCCGGAAGGACGTGTTTCCGCACAGAGAGACCTCACACGGAGTGTTACACACTGCATGCCGCGCCCCTCGTCACATTTCCTGACGCAATTTCACGAATGGGAACCCAGCCTTGCGATGAGCGAAGTCGCCTTACAAAAAGCGGAAAGCACAGAACTCCTAATTACACAAGCGCCAAGGTGAGCTCTGATGCGGCGAGGTGATCCGGCAGAGCATCCGTGACGGCGTACATCTAGGAACGCATGGACGGGTACCTTCTAGAAGCGAGGTGTCCACATACCCGTGGAGTTATCCATTTTGGAGAAAACTACGAAGAGTGCAGACTTACTATGAAGGGATTTATGAAACTATTGAGCGGGCTCTTCCTCCGGAACAGTTAATGTACATAATTCGTGTCTTCAGGCGTTCAGCATGCAGAGAAGTAATCGGGGCCAGAAATGTCTTTTGGAGGGCTTCACGGTGCCCCTTCCAGAGCAGGTGTGCACTGCGCTGCGTGTAAGAAGAGGCGTTGGTAGGACTGCCCTTGCCGGTTCTGTCCGCTACCTCGAAATGGACGCATGCTATTCAAGGCATAGGTTTTCTCGCTCTGGTGTAGCTGCGGACCGCTCCCCTAGAACACGACAAATTCATGCAGTCTTTTGCGTGCAGAGACTTATGACAGGAATTGGAAGGCAGAGGACGGGAGACCTCCCTGGCAATTCGGGCGGGGGCACGGAGAGGCTTATTTTGAGCTTTTGTTTAGGTTCAAACCCTTTGTCTGCATGAACCAAATTCGGCGAAGCCTCGGAGGTTTCTTTTCATAAGAGCTTCTACGCAAGGATCGTTTGCATACGTATTACACAGCCAGCAGCCGCAAAGCCCGTACGCCCCTGGGAGGTGGTGATGTGCCCTGAAGGGGCAAATGCGCGTGCGTTGCGAATTCCTTGAGGTTGCTGGTAGCTTTGGCACGATGAACGCGCTGGAAAGCATGCGCAGCTATCCTTAGAAAGCCGCAATGAGCTGTTTGCTCGCAAACATCATACACAAGTTTCCTGAGTCTTGTGCCGCTGTGTCTGTCTGTGGGCCGGAAGAGGGCGGGGGGCCTCAGCGTACCTGCGTCTTATGGTACTGCCAGGGCGCCTCCTCGTTGGGCGCGGCGGATTTGATGCACGTATCGGACCAAATAGGCATTGGTTTTTGTTTTTTAGTCGATTTCCGTTTAAATTATTTTGAAGAAAGGTCAGCTGTGTAGCGGCAGGGCGCCTTCGAGCTCGCGTAGTGAGACTGCCCTTTTCGTTTACGCGTGGAGCGGCTGGTGGCGGTAGAGTAGGCTCACTCGAACCGCGGGGGAGGTGGCTGCATGGGCAGCAAGAGCATCACTCTCCGTTGTTTGTTTGTGGTCTCTTGGTGTTTTCTTCTTCTCTTTTTCTCTCTTATTCGCCTTATGGGGGGCCCTGAATAAGTTTCTCTGGGTGCGTGCTCCCTTTGTGGGGATCTGCGTCCCTCAGCAGACGAGCAGCCTTTGATATCGGCAAACCGGTACTTCCTTGAAGTTTCAGCGGGTAGAGGAGTCCAGTGTTGCACCTCCTGCTGCATTTTTCCAGGCTTGGCTCTGGCCGTATACTGTTTGCGGGGCGTTCGTCATCTTTTGGGGCGTTTTCTGCCGGCGGCACAGCCGTTGTGGGTGCTCCGAAAGAGCAAGGAAAAGCCAGTCCATCGAGATATACATATATATAGACTATATATATATCTACGGAGAAGGAGGAGGTACATCAGTTGCTGTCTCTCCCCCTGCTTGCCTGTTTGCGTGTGCGGCCTCGATTCGTTCATTTGCTTTCTCCTCTGCCCTGTGTTCGTGTCGCAGTAGAGGAAGGGCATGCATACATGCATGCGTGCCCTTGCAATGTACCCATATCTGCAGCTTGTGCGCTGGTCCTTATATTGTGCAGTGCGTGTGGCTCTTGCCTCGCCTGCCCCCTAACTAGCGAGGCGCGCTTGCGTCTCGCGCTCTAGAGCTTCTTTCTCTTCTCCCGGAGCCAACACTCATACCCCGGCATCTCGGGTGTCTATCTCGTTGCAAGCTCTCGTTCCCCCGCCGCATGCAAGCCAGGACAAGGGAGGCCAACGAGAATGGATGTGCATTCAAAGATTGCTCTTATCTGATTTTCCGTTCTCTCAAATAGCAAGAGCACGGTCTCCCGCAAGTGCGAGGCGGCACGCACCGCTCTTCAGACTGTGTAGAGTTTATATGATGAAGGCCGTCTGCGCGTATAGCTAGCTGCCTGCAGTGTACATGCGTAATCAAATGCGACTGAGCCTTTGGCCGTGCAGATAGGTAGATTTATATATGTATATATATATTCTTTCATCATACAATACAATATATATATATATATGCTATCTATGATACGTGGCGACAGTGCGGCAGTTTCGGCGCCTGCTTGCTCCATTTGAAGTGTATTGGATCTTCATTTATATACACCTACCTTCCTGCCGTACGAGACAGGGATCGAAGAGCACGAGTGGCTCTGTTCTTCGCTCTTCCGTAACGAGTGCTGTTTGCATCATTCGATTCATTTGACACACGTAGGGACGAGTGTTCTGATTCGGTGCCGTCTCCACTGGACCCTTCTTCCCTCCCAATATTTCTTCATTGTGCGTCATACTATCCCCTCATTCCTCTGCACTTGCACCGCGCCTTTTCTCGAGTGCCTTCGAGCAAAAGCGCGGTGGAGGCGAAGTTCTAGGCTAGGCATCGGTCTAGATCCAGAGGAGGTTGATGCGAAGTGCTCGTCACTTGCTGCCAGGTGTATCTGGGGGAGGAGGGTCTTAGGTTGTTCTCGTGACAGGGCAGCCCTCTTCCAACGGCTTCTTTCATTCTTTGATTGATCGCGCGGGGGGCGTGCGTGCCTCTGTGCGAGGCATCCGCTAGGCAACCTGGAAGCGCGCGTGTGTCTGGTTTGTAGGGTTCTGCATGTTTCTCTACCTGTTATCTATGTCCATCTATCTATGGAATATATATTTACTAATATATTGTCCGCAAAAATACACATATTTTGCATTCATGTGCTATTGGCTTCATCATCCTTGTTTCTCTGCGTGTGTGTGTGTGCTGGTACCTTCCCGCTCCCGTTGGCTGTGTGCTGCCTCCGGAGTGCTCTTGTATGTACTAGGTTCCTTAATATCGGCGGTGTGTGGCGAGCGCATAGCGCTGCGTATTCGAGCGCAGTCTGTGAAGCCCGAGGCCTTGCTGTCCCCTTGAGCCTCAGCCGTTTTGCTTGCCCGCGCCGGTTTGGCAGTGGAGTGTGTGTGTGAGTGTTTGTGAGAGTGAGTGAGTGTGTGTGTGTGTATGCAATACTTGCGGACGGAGTTTGGCCATCTAGTCTGGCGTCTTCGGTGCATTGCTGATAGAGCCCCGAGGTTTCGAGGAGTTCCTTCGATATCCAATGGAGAGGCGATACTCGCCTGTATCACGGGATATGCCTGTGTCTGAGGTGGTCTTTCCTTCCCGCGCGACGGAGTCGTGGGAGGTGGCTCCTGGGGGCCTCTGCAGAACGCCTAAAGCAGTGATTGGCTCGCTTCCCCGACCTGCCCCTCCTGTGCAGCTCGCGACTGCTGGCGGAGGATCCTCCCTGGTGCCGGAGTGCCCTCCGTGCACATTTGCTTCTCCCCTCATTTCGGAAAGCTTCGGCGAATGGGGCAGTGGCGATATGTGTTCGAGCCCTGCTGGCGTTCGCGGGTTGCTGGAGGGGGGCGACGCATCGGGAGTTGTGGGGTCTCCTTCGCTGCCTGCCAGTTTGCTGCTTGCGTCAGCGAATAGCGCATACACGAAGCTGCGGGCTGGGGGGGAGGCGAGGTGTCTGCGGGAGGCGCCTTTAGGTATCCCTAGCGCCTCGTCCTCTCTGCCTGCGGGACCGGAGGAGAGTGCGGCTCTTCTCGGAGGTGCTGCTGAGCGACAGCAAGGCGCTCAGGGGGGTGGAGGCGGCCCCCCGAGTGGCGGTGGGGGCGGAAGTGCGGGGGCAGTTCGACTGGGTATGGGCATGTCGGCTGCATGCGCCCTTTCATACGAGGGGTTTGACGGATTCTCCCCTGTGTTGCCAGGGGTCGAAGCCTCCTCCATGTGGGGAGCGGCTGCGGGGCCCCAAGCGCTGCGGCGCCATGCTGCTTTGGATCTGCATGCGCCTCCCGGCTACGAAGCTCTAGGATTTGGCGGAGGGGCGGGGGGGGGAGGAGCGCTCGAGGCGCGCGTCGCTGCTGCTGAGCAAGAGGCCCTTTTGCAAGACCTCACGGCGCATCAGCGAGTTGTAGGGAGGGCAGGCGAAGAAGGCTCGGGGACGGCGGCGGGAGGGGCGTGTGGAGGCGGAGGAGGGACGCTTTTGTATGAGCAGCAGCAGCAGCAGTTGCAGCAGCAAGACACTGCGCCTTGTGGGAATTTTGACGGAAGGCGACCCTCCATAGCCCTCGCTGCCGTGGCACAGGTGGCGCGAGAGAAAATGCGTGTGCGGAAACCGCGGAGTCAGAGAGGGCCTCTGGGGCTTGGAGCAGCAGCGTCCTCTCTGGAGTCGGCCCCTAATATGCCCGTCATGGGTTTCGCTTCCGAGGTTCTTGTGGGGGGGGGCGGTCAGGGGGGAGGAGGAGCAGGAGTCGCCTGTCCGGCACCCCTGCCTCCAATTCCTTCGGAGAACGATGTGGATGGGGATCGTAGGGAGCGTCTTGTGTCGATCTCGTCCGGCCTGCAGAAATTGCATGAAGAAGCAGCTGCATTTGTATCTTTGCTGTACGATGCGATCTTTGACGAAAGGCCCGTATGGAGGGTTCCGTTTTCTGTGGGTGGCGGTAGAGGCTTGCCCCGTCCGCAATTGCAGTTGGCGGATCTAGCAGTGCGTGTTCATTCCCCTAGGTGCAGTCGCAGGCAGCTTCTGGATCCTCAGCTGCTGGGGTCTCGAACGCCGCAGGACCAGCCCGTATTCGATGCAGGCACAGGTCCGGGTGACGTGCTGCGGCAGCTGACGGCTTTGAAGAGCTGCCTTGGGGGGTTCGCGTTGACTGTGGAGAGCCTTCAGGTGTGTGTTGCGGGTGTCGATCGGGTGTCGTGTTCCGTTAGAGGGGCGTTGATGATTGGGCAGGGCGGATCTCGATGCCCCGACGATAACTGCGTGGCGGGAGGGGGGGGTAGCCAGCGCGAGGAGGGGGGCGGGAGGAGTATGCCCGCCTCCGTTACTGCCGTTGCTGGCAGTGGGGGTGGCAGTTCTGTTCAGGAAGGTATTCAGAAAGTGGGTCGTTTTTCGCACTTCTTGACGTTGCGGCCGAGGCCCCCGCCGGCAGCTGAGACGGCGGGTTCTCTGGGGGAAAGCGGAGAAGCTGGAGGGAAGCGGGTAGGAGGAGTGGACGCGTGCCACCCGGTCTCTTCAGGTTCTGCGGCGATGTGTTCTCCGTTTATCATCGAGTCTGAAGTCTTTGTGGCACTGACGGCCTCTGAAAGTGGAGGGATTCCCTTGTCGGCACAGGTCTGTGGGGTCACCTCTCTTCTGCAGGAGTTGGATTTCGGCAATAGAGGCATCAAGGCATTCGACGCAGGCTTTGGGGCAGGAAACCTCGCACCCGCCCCCCTCTCAGCACAAGCAGGTCTTAGGAGCATTGTGGGACGGCTTCATGGAGGGCTTCCTGGCAGCCCAGAGCAGCAGAGCAGGAGCGTTTTAGGCCGTCTGCCCGCGATGTTTAAATCAGAAATGGCGATGGCGGCAGGACGGGGGGTCGGACTCTCTGGTCAGCTGAGAGAAGGCGTGCCTGACTGCGGCGACGCTCTCTCTAGAGGCCCAGCGGACTGCCCGGAGGATGCCGTGTCGCAGCTGGTGTCGAGTTTGCGAGTTGATGGGGGGCTGGTAGGCCTCCACAGCGCCTCCGATGTGTCAGGATGGCCTCCAGCACTCCACCATCCCGGACAGAGGCAAAGGAGGAGCAGGAAGAAGAAGAAGTCGAGGCAGGGAACGTCCAGCACAAGCGCCACGGGAGCCGCGGGGCGCAGTGCCTCAAAGGGAGGCCAGTTGTTGCCGGGTTCGGGGGGCCTCGCGTGCATCACGCCGCTTACCTCCTTCCCTTTGCAGCCCGCCTTGCAGCTGCAGCAACAGTTCGAGCAACAACAGCAGCAACAGCAGCAGCACAAGCATAAGCAGCAGCCGCGGGATGGGCAGGCCGCTGCAGTTCAGACCGAGAAGGGGCTGATGGGCGTTCCTGGTGTTCAAGGTGTCTCACCAGAGGCTTTTGAGAGAACGGTTTTTGTCTCCTGGATCCCGAGAGCTGCGAGGGCGCACACACTCTCCGGAAAGGAGGCCGCCGAAGAGAAGGTAGGTAGAAAAATGGCCAGGCAGACAGGAAGGCGTGAAAGTCGCTAATGAACGAAATCTGTTCGATGTGACTGGGCATGCACTGAATTACGCATTTCGCACATTGTAAGGGGTGGAGGATTAGGCTACGGATTGTGTACGATGTGCAGCGAGCCGCCATGTGCCTTTTCTGTGTTTGCTTCGTTCAGCTAAAGACGGTCTTGACTGGCGACCTCGGCATCTGCGGAATCGAGCGCGTTCTTGTGTTTCCTCCACGTGGTTCGCATTGTTGCATCTCCTTCTGCAGCTCGGATGCCTCTATGGCGTTCTTGTTAGAGTATGCTGGGGGTACTTTCACCCCAAACACCGAAAAGTTTAAAAGGAGAATCTGTGCTTCCTTCAATGTTGAATTTGATCGAGGGATCCAGCGCGTCTTTATCCGCATTGAGGGTGTCAGGCTTATGCCGCAGCCCACCACTACTGGAAGACCTGCTGATGTTGACCTCAGAGGCTGAAGTGCTGTCGCCACACTTCACCCACCCCCGTGTTGACGATCTCGTCTTCGTATCGTTCCTTTAACCTGAAGGGTACTGTCGCCGTTGTGTTTTTCGAGGGTGCCTCCTCGGCATCATCTGCCCTGCCCCTATGCATCTTTCCTTCATGCTCTCCCGATCTTGTTGCCCCTTCAAGGAACGCCATGGCCAGTTTCGTGGAGCGGCTGTATATGGGCACGGCGGTTGGATCCCAATGACAGATCAAAAAGCAAATACGACGAGTTCCAATCAACGACAGAGCCGATTTGCGTTGATCTGCCCATGATGTGCGAGTGTGACCCGCCTCATTATAAGGGGATCTCTTAGGCGCAGCAGGCCCCTTAGGGGTGCCTGTTCGGGACCCCTACTGGTATGAAAGCTCAATGGGAGGATGGACGTGCACGGGAGAGTTTCGTTGGTTATTCAAAAAGTGCCGATTTCACAGAAGGGCGTCAATGAGGATGTTCTAGGCAGATGTACTTGTGTTTCGCTCGTTGTATCTTCCCGATTGCGTGTGTTCGTGTGTTCCCCGTGCCCTCTTACGGCGCGGGCTGTAAATTAAGACTGTGTACTCCTGTGCTGCCTCATCGTCTATTGCGCATCTTATTACGCCCTGTATCTACCCTCATTGAAGGGGGCTTGTGTTTGGAAGGGCAGCTCCCAGGGCGGGGCTACCCAAAGCTAGTTGCAGCTTCTGTATAGACCAAGACTATGCCTAAACAGCTGCTGTATCTTATACGTATTTTCATGTCGTTTGCTGGTGGTGAATCCGTGGGGCATGAGAGCGTTAAGGACCCCCTTGTCTGCATTGTCCTTGCGGTAGAAAGGCGTCTTCTACTCGCTGTAATATTTTGCTGGCTTCGAGCTCGATGGTGCGGCTGCTGTATTTGAAGTACCCTGCCGCTGCGCCTGGTCAATGCTGAACGGCGGCACATCCTGCATTCTGCACGGTGCCCCGCCCCCAATTATTCAAAAAGCCCTTCTCTTTTGATTGCGATTGCTCTGTTTCCGCGTTGTAAAACCCCTAGGTTTTCAATGGCCACGGGGAGTATATAGCGGGAAGGAGCGTTTCATTGCCAGTTACAAGATGCTGCGCAATTAAGTGACATTGCTAATGCCTTCGCCTTAAAACTGACACTCCTATATAGTGTGGTCGACACCAAACGGATGAGCGGTTTCCAGGCATTACGGGGGGACACGTCGGAAGTAAGGTGCAAAGTCGGGTGGGGGGCGCTACCTGTTGCCTGGGGAAGGGCACAAACGCGAGAACTCCACGCACAGAGAAGTGAGGGAGAGAAGAATCGGGATTAACACGAATTCACATGAAACAGCAGACACGGCGGGTGGGAGAGAGGCAATTGCGGAGAGGGGCAATGGGGGTGGTGTACTTGAGAGAGTCACTAGCTGTAGGTGGAATGGCGTCAATGGATAGAAGCCAAAACGTATCCTACAGTACTTGTGCACCTGTTTGAGGTGGGCATCTGCCTGCAGAGGAGCCTCCCTAATAGAATCGTTTGCATAAGTAGTACCGAGCCTGTCGGCTCCTATGGAGTTGGAACGACACACACACGGACGGGGGAAGGAATCCACCTTTTTTCCCCCGAACAGCTACTCGACATACAGATTCACTCTGCACATTTGAACGCTTGGCTTTAAACTGCAGCAGTCATAGTGCATGGGGTGAAGGCGGAAGCAGCAACTTGCTGTCGCCCGCTGCTGCCGCTGACCTGCTGGTGATGCCTTGCTTTTGGATTTCTCGAAGGTCTGGTCTTCTACTTTGTTTTCCGTGTGGCAGTTACACTGTTTATGTTTTTAATGGTGAAGGAATCTTCTGAATCCTCCATAATACTCGTAAATCTGTAGCGGACCACCTAATGACCAGTGGACTCGGCGCTGCATCGAGAGCTCTTTGGCTTGGCCGGACATATACAGCGGGGGCCTCCATGCACTTGATTTATAGGGGCATTTTCAGGCATTCTTCTCCTGTGCGGGTCTATATTCGTCGTAAAATCACCGTGAATTAGGACTTGAACCGCTGCGCTTTGCCATTTATTCATGTGTGTGCCCACCACAGGCTAGTACAGCGCAAGTTCATCAGCTGTTAGTCCGCATGCTCTCGCTGCTGCATTATGGAGAGGAAGCAGCTATACGGCGCGAGGGCACCTGAGAGGCCCTGGATCCGTAGCCAGCGGAATGAGCAGGGGAGGGGCAGTGGACGGCGCGCAGCGTCCGAAGAAGATGACGTTGCAACAGCAGCGGCAGCACCAGCGACACCTCCGGCGGAAAAAAATGAGAGCTGCTGGCGAGAAAACTCGGGGATTTCCTCGTCTGATAGGGAGATGGAAGGAGATGAAGAAGAAGAAGAGGATCAGGATGAACAATTAGGTGATCACAGTGGTGCCAGTGCGGTGGACGCGGAGGAGAAAGATATCACAGTGCAGAGGAGGGTTGTACAGTCGCATTACCCTCTTCCAATGCTGCGCAAACATCGGGATATTTTGGCACTTTGTGTCGGCATTTTCTCCTTCATCTGCTCCGCCGCCCTTCTCGCAGTCTTCTACACTGCACTCTGCTGTATCTTCAGGGATATTGACTTTACAGAAAGCGTGGTTGGCGGTTTTATGTATCATCAGGCGGCGCTCCTGGAGTACGTAGCGCGTCTCCCAGTCAACTTGCTGCTGCTTCTTCTTGGGGTCATCCCGTGGCTGCTTCTTTTGTGCCTGCGCTCCCTCGGAGCGCTGGTATCCGGCTTGCAGGTCGTGCTGCACTATTTCTTCGATTGCTTCCCACACAGCTTGTCACTGCCTCCCAGCCTCTACGCGTCCTGGAAAATAGTTCTTTTGCACGGCGTCTGCTGGGCAATGATAACATTTTTGTGGCTCTTGTATGCTTTTGACTTTGGGTCGAGGGAGTCCTATGGACGGCTTGGAATCTTCATGCGGGCACTAAAACTGCGCCTGCAGCGCGAAGAAAGGCAGAGGCCAAGTCGATTTTGGATTCCGGTAGAGGGGGACAGGAAGCAGATTTGGTCCGTTAATCAGCGTGGGCCGCTTGTGGAAGAAGGGGATGCACAGAGCAAAGCAGCAGCACCAGCAGCTAGAGCAAAGGCGAACGTGAAAGAGGTGTTTCATAGGCATCCGTGGTTGACGGCCGCATACAAAGCGGTTGCTTCTCTCATGGCTTGTGGAATTCAGAAAGAAGACGACTTGAGCGCGGATAGTGCTAAGGCAAGGTGTGCGAGAGATGAAAAGATCCTTAAGCAAAAGGATGGCATGCATCATGATGCATGTGGGAGGTGGAATTTGGGGCACTCTTCTTCGTTGTTGCACTCTCCTGATGCGACCTGCCAGCAGGATAGTAGCGCCGAGCTTCCAGAGGCCTCGGAAGACACACCAGCTCGCGTCGGCTGTCGGGTCGCTCATGGAGGCAGAAGAACAGAGGGAGCCTACGCGCATGCCTGTTGTCGGCGATCTTTCCAGCAGAAGCAAGCACTAGATCTACGGTGCTCAGACAGAGCTCCAAGGCAGCTCCCAGAGGCGTCACTCTTGTCTGGAAAACAAGCTGGGATGCGAGCGTGCAAAGGACGAGAAGCCGAAGCGAGGGGGGATGAACAATTCGTTTACGACCCTCGTGGAATTTCTCACGGGGGCAGCTGTCTAACTAGGCCAGCCGAAGACATAGTTCCCGAAATAGAAAGCATAAGCAGCGGAGAAGAAAGTGAGTGGTGCATGGTTTCGAAAGAAGTTCAAGAGGCACCCCAACGGTCAAGACTTGAGGCATAGGCCGCGATGCAAGTTCAACGCAAACAGCCTGCCTGTGGGCCCTATATTTCGAAGAGGTTCGAGGGAGGTGGACCTGATGGAGTTTTGAGCGGTGTGTTTGGTGCATTTTGTCGCGTGCTGCCCTCCGAAGGTCGGCTGCCAGAGAGGGACATAGACGAACAGATGGGCAGAGTAGACGGGAAGGGAGAGGACAGGCAGGAAGGATGGGTAGCTGGGATGCATGAGCTTGCCAACTCACGTCGTCACAGATGTTTTATATTGATCCTTATGTCGTCTGTGTAGCGGTACTCTATCCAGAGAGCCGGGGGAGTTGGCCTAGATAAAACTGGAAAATTGCATTTGGACTAGCCCCCATCCTTTCGATTTGGAATGTAAATATGAGAATGCCTACTGCAAGGGGTCATTACGATAGGCGAAGGGGGAATCGAATGTAGCTTCCCAAGAGAATGCCTTAGCACGACCTTGAACTACGGCGGTTGCTTGGAAAGGAGATAAACAACAGCAGCAGACGCATCAGCTATGCGATGCATCATAGCTTCAGTTCAGTTTACTTTAAGGCATCCCTACGACTCGATATCTGGTACACATATATTTGTGTTCATAGGTATGTGTAGTCTATTATCTTACCCATCACGGCCTGTGAAACCTGCGATTGCGTATCTCCATGAATCCAGAGCTCCATACCTGCAAAGGCGTGCAGATGCCAATGGATAGGCATGGGCAGGTTAAGGAGTCTACGGATGTACAAACAATGACGAGCTGCCAGCAGGCTGGTCACCTGACGGTCGTCCAGCGCAGAGTATGCAACTGACTCTTGGGCAGCCCCATGCGTTGCTCCAAGGTATCAGAAGTTTTCATAGCATGAAGAGGAGATTGAGTGGCAGGTAAATGATTCGAAAAAATAGAAAGCACAGAAACTGACTCGTGCGTTTTGGGTATAACCTGATGAGGCTGCCAGAAAAGTACGAAAGGCGGAACGCTTGCGTTCACGTCAAGCTTCTGATCAATACCATTATAAAACAGGAGTTCTCCATGCCTCATGGTGGTGAGTTACATTACAAAGGACATGAAGCAATGGTCTACTCGACATCGAACTCCACAGACGCTTTCGTACGTTCACTCATCACCCCAACGAGAGGCACGAAAAGGCCTCCTACACTCGCACTCGCAAAGACAAGCACACCTATATGCCATCGGAAGTTGTCAATGCCCCTGTTGAGCTGCAATAGCAACTTAATTAGGACCATTGTGAGCCAAATAAGGAGGGGTGTATGGCATTCTACACAGATTACGTCTTCTTCTACGTCAACACGTTTGAAAGCATAAATGGTGAGCAATTCAGCTGTTGCAGGACGACCAGTGGATTGCGAAGGCACACACGTGTTGGCTATCCACTGCTTCTGGAATTCTGCGGAATGGGTTACATCAGGCGAGGAAGAAAGCAATGAAGGCGTTGCCTTTAGACACCTGCAAGGGCGCTACAAAGTTCGATAGCATTGTGCCTTGCTACCAAATGTTCATTCTTGGTTCCGTCGGATTGCGGCCGTTTTGAGTGAGCTACTTAGAGAGCAATCTATGAGCTGAATAGAAAATGCTCATAGAGCCGGGAGGACGCTTTTTCGCCACCTCACAACTCCTCCGCTGCTAGCGCTGCTTGATTCTAAGCTTCATTTCTTCCTAATCACTGTTGCTAATGACATGGTGGCTGCTCCTATTTTCCCCCTTCGTGCACTTAGCGCTTCACCGAACTTAGAAGCGGGCCCCAGTGCGGAAAGAAACTCCATGTGGTGTGGTGAGGTGTGGAAAATGACGGCACTATTTATATGGACGCCATTTCACTCATTACGCCCACCAGTATTTAATGTATTTGAGGAGGGGATTTCAGGGCTTTGATAATCCTAGAGTTGTTTACCAGCGTAGGCGCCTGCTGCACTATGGCTTTACAGTGAAGTCAACTAGGGGCGTCACCACCGTGGTCGCTGACAGGCTCCCGCGGTGCGCCTCCAAGTCACTGATCTGTGGCGCACCCGCCCTTGTCTAGGATTGTTTAACAGTGTACATTGAAATTGTGTGAATGTTATGCTTTTGATGTCCTACAGCCCCTACTACTGTGAAAATCCAGAATGGCAAAAGGCTGAGGCACTTCCGAATAGAATATGGTGAGAACAACCATCCTTATTAATACGATGAGGACCACTTTCCAGCTCTGTTTCTTGTGAGAGAATTTAAGGCTATCTTTAATCAACAATTCTAGTCGCCATGGACAGGATTCCTTGCGTTCGTTGATAATCATCCCTTCGACCGCATGCTCTGCTTGAAATGGCTCCCTTCATGGTTAAGTATTGCTTGGGTAGTTTCGGTTATTTTGTCTAGGGTGTTGCTTACTTTTAGGTGTATGCGCAGGCAGTCTGAGATATGGTGTCTGCATTCTTCGCTATGCCGCTAACAGGGTTTGGAGTTGACTATGCTGGATGCACCGGCTGCGTATGCACGCAGCAACTCTTCTATGAGAAACGGAAGCCCCGCTCA